GCTGGTGAGTCACAAACCCAGAACCTCTGGTCTGGAGATACAGACACTACCACTGTACTGTCAGACTCATTGACATCACCTTGTATGTTGGCTCAGTGTCTCTCAGCATTAAATATGGTTCCCCAAATACGACGGCGATCACAAATTGTGACATCAAATTTCTGGTTCCTCACAATAGTCTAAATAATAAATAGCTTGGCTCTGATCCCTGTGCACTCCTGTTTTCCCCAGAGTTTGACAGTCAGTCTGAAGTTCTCTGCCAATAGCACAGGAGCTGGCTAGTTTGCCAGGCGCAGCTCCTGCTGATGTTGGGAAAAGATTGCATTTCCCAGCCCCTGTATTGGCCATGGGTATTTGGGCGACCTCTGTTATGGACCAGACCAAACAGCCTCAAAACATGTCAAGGACATAGCCTGACTTTTCTCTTAGTTAAAGGCAAGTGTAAGGCACTGCATTCCAGGTGTGATTCAATTGGTCAAACTTAAGAAAACATTCAGTTTTAAGCAAAATAAAATGCAAACAAAAAAATTGTCATAACTTTAACTCTTGAAATAATTCATAAAATAACATATGATTTAACTATACCTTATCAACTGTTTCAAAATGGCAGCATTCCATAAACAAATCCTTGGCAAATTCAGCAAAACAGATTCGCTCATGTGCTATCTCCAGTCCAAGCCATGGGAAAAATGAAAGAATCAGTCTAGCAGCAGAGACAGAACGTAAGCTGTTTGCAGCAACAGACAGACAGCTGTATCTAGCAGCTTCAACTTCAAAAAACCCCAACCTCAACAACTGAAAGCAAAATCTAAAACCGTGGGTCAGTGTGTGCCTGAGTCCACCCACTCACAATTCTTATGTCTATTTTTTTAAAAATTACCCAAAGCTATTTACTCTGCTTTCCCTGAAGCTGACACCTTGGCACCAGGTTCACAACATCTGTTTTCAAGGGAAACAGGACAGAACAAATCCCTCTTAAATGCACATCTTGTCACACCTCTGCCACTGCTTCAATGTGATAAAGCCAGCCTAAATGAACAGCACTATGGGCACCAATCTCAATAACTGCTGCACTTCAAGAAGGCAAGAAATGGATGAGAATCGCTGGCCAGCGATGCCTGGATCCTGTGAATGAATGAACAAAAATTCTCAAACAGGTTCATGCCAGAAATTCCCAAAATAATTTGGCAGGTTGCCAGTTCTCTAGATTTGTCCCGGGATCCCCAGGAATTAAAGGCTGACATTGCAGGATTAGGGCAGTCGTTCCCATAATATTAAGAAAACTGAATAAGGCAAAAGTTGGCTGTTTGACTGACAGTTCAAGGCTAGTCCAATTAGGTGACATTGACCCAAATCTTCCACGTTGGAATCCATACTTATGACCCCACAGGATCACAGATCACTACAGTGCAGAAACAGGCTATTCAGCCCATCAAGTCTGCACTGACCCTCTGAACAGCATCCCACCCAGACCCAGCCAATCCCTGTACCCCACATTTCCCATGGCTAATCCACCTAACCTGCCCACTCCTGGACACTGTGGAACAATTTAGCACGGCCAATCCACTCTTAACTGCAAATCTTTGGACAATGGGAGGAAACTACAGCATCCAGAGGAAACCCACGCAGACACTGGGAGAACATGCAAACTCCACACAATCACCCTAAGCTGGAATTGAACCAGGGTCCCTAACACTGTGAGGCAGCAGTGCTAACCACTGGGCAACACTAGCCAAAAACGTTAGGGTTAGGCTTAGGGTAAAGTTACAGGAGTCCCGAATTTTACGACGTATGACTTACGAACACAATCTCATACAGGATTGTAATTTTAAAGACCCAACATGCAAACATCTCCTGTACTTACGAAGGGCTCCTTTATATTGTCCTGTATGTTCCGACTTTAACACAAATCAACTTGCGAACGGACTCAAGGAGAGAAACCGTTCCCAACCCGGGGACTGACTGTGCATAGGCCCTGACAAGACGGCTATCTTCCGACAGGATCCTCTAGGACATGCCAAGGAGGGAACCAGGGGGTCAACAATCTCAGGATACGGGGTAGGTCATTTAGGGCGAAAATGAGGAAATATTCCATCGCTCAGAGGGTGTGGTCAACCTGTGGAACTCTCTACTGTGGAAGGCACGCCACTGAATATACTCAAGAAAGAGACCGATACATCTATAGATTTTAAAGGTATAAAGGGATATGGGGAGAAAGCAGGAATATGGTGTTGAGATAGGGAATCAGCCATGATCCCATGGAATGCCTTAGACTGGCTTGGGTGGCACTGCTTACTCAGTGAGTCTTGGTGGCTGGGTCAATAACGGTTGCAAATGTTGAGCCAACTAAGTGCGCAGAGTCATGGTCCAGGTACAATTAAGAGTAATTGATGCAAATTGGAGCATCTTCTGAAAAACCAGCATTTTCATTGTTCCTCTTTCCTCTCTCTCAAACCTTTGAAGGTCTGCATTGACCTGAACAGACTTTGCACATGAATTGATCGATTTAGAAAACTTCGGAGAAAAGAAATTCAGTTGTGTTTCAGAACACACCTGAATATAAAACACAAAAAAAAAGTTTCCTCCTGCCTGCAGCACTTCTGTGCAATTGCAGATTAAGGTGATTCATGGATTCTCAGCCCAACTGTTTATTTTGCTCTGAAGAAGTTGCTGGACTCAAAACGTTAACTCTGCTTTCTTCCCACAGCTGCTTCCAAACCTTCTGAGTTTCTGTTTTCATTTCAGATCTCCAGCATCTGCAATTCTTTGTTTTATGTTAGTGTTTATTTTGTGGGGGCCGTGGACCACGTGTATGTTGTTTGTGAGAGATTCCAAACCCCCTTCCCCAGATTCAGTTTTCTTTGGTTGCCATTCAGCCCCAACGCTGCTGATATTTGGGCACCTCGTGCACAGGGGGCATGGACAAGTCAGAGAACATTCTTTTGGGCCTGGCTTAAAGTTGACCTTGCCAAGTCCAAGTCATGGAGGGGTTGCAGTTCCTGACTGCCTGCCCTTCTTCTGCAGTTATGTTCTTGCTAGCTGTCTTTGCAGTGTCCACTCTCAATCTCAAAACTTCTAGGTGGGGATGTGGGCACTGCAGCGGGTTGGAGTGTATTACCTCTCCCTCCAACTCTATCTTGATTTAGCTTGCTCCCTCACTTGCTTTCCCCATCTTTTTGCTTTCATTACTGTATTGGCTGCTGTCCACTGGTGGACAGTGTCTGTAGTTCTGAAAAAAGGTCACTGGACCTGAAACGTCTCCATAGATACTGCCAGACCCTGCTGAGTTTCTCCAGCAATTTCTATTTTTGTAAGTGTTTGTAGTTTGTTCTATGTTTAATTGGTGATGTGGATGATTGAATGGTGAGTTTACAAAAAAAACTTCCCTACATACTCTTGTGATGCAGTGGTAGTGTTGCGACCTCTGAACCAGGAAGCCTGGGTTCAAGCCTCACGTTCTCCACAGGTATGTCATAACATCTCCAATCAAGAGGATTAGAAACTATTGCCATTCTGTACTCTGCTGCAGTGTATAGGAGGATAGGACACACGGTCTACATTCTGCAGTAGGCTGCGGTGTGTGAATCAAAAGTTATGGCAGAAAACCTGATTCCTGTTTGTCACACAACTGAATGGTTCTTCTTCACTTTAACTTCTTACTGCATGTTGACAGTGCAGATTAAATATGAGGATGGGTGAGGTTCCAACATGTGGCTGATCAGGGAGTTCTCTCCCCCTTACCACTGTTGATCAGCACAGTGCTCACCCTGTTAGGCAACATTATGGATACTTCTTCCTTGACCGTCACACTATGGAGTGGGGCTCAAGCCCCAGAACCCATGGCTCAGAGGCAGGGCATTATCTACTATGCCACAAGACCTTGTCAGACTGGATAGTGCTCCCTTCGAATGGCAGTTAATCATGGGGAAGTACGTTGTCTGCAATTGGCTAGATATATGATCAAATCTGCACCTCCCCCAATGCTGGTCTGCTGTGATACTTGATGAATGTTTGAATCTGGTTGGAGGAGTGAAGGCCTAGGAATCTTTCCTTGTGAACCTCGCTGTGAGATGTAAAACTGGGAGGACGTTTGCTCTTGAGGTTGGGCAGTAGTGGTTGGTGGTCAGAATCTCAGGATAAGCGTTCAGCTATCTGGTCTGAAGTGAGGGGACACTTCTTCACTTGGAAGGTTGAGAATATTTGGGAATTCTCTGTCTCAGAGCATCCTGGAAGATCTGTCACTGAGTCATACTCTTTGATAAATGTTCAGGGAATTAAACGGAATGGGTGGGAGAGTGGAGGTGAGTGCAAAAGAGCACATGGAATCACATTTAATGACACAACAGGCAGGATCCACTCCCATTCCAATTTCTTACTGATCTGGGAAGAGACAGCAGGCACACCCTCAGGAAGGATCCCTTTCTTTTGTTAAAGGGATCATTTCATATGCAGGAGGGAGGTAGGGAGAAAGACATCACAACCCCCTCCCTTTCCACCCTCTCAAAATGGTCTCTGTTACTCTTCAAAGAGAATGAAGCAAAGGTGTCAATCCACGTGAAAAATTTGAGATAAAAACGGTTATACAGGGCAGGGTTGACCTGAAAGGGTTAACTGACATTGCAACGTAAACTCTATCCACCAGAATATAAAGAGCTGTTCCTGGAAGAAGTGTTCTAAGGACTAGCATTGTCGGCTTACCAATGAATGGAGCCCTGATGCCTCACATGAAAATGTCAGGTAACCCAGATGTAATGTAACTAGTTAGTATGTACTATGTAATAGACCTAGTCAGTCTATCAAGACACAGTCTCATTCCTGCTGAAGATTTGGCATCAGAAACTTCAACTAACGTCAATAGGAAGGATTGTGGGGGGATCAGTGAGTTTACCCAAGGTGTCTCAGATGGTTCTGCTAAACACTGCCATGACAGATAGTCTGCTTACAACAGTGTGGATTTGATCAAGTTTTCCACATACAGGTCACGAACTTTGTAATATATTGCTAAAGATAATGATTTTATTAATGGTGTGAATACTGAAAGATAATCACTTTACACAGCACTGGGTGTGATGTCACACATGCCAGTGCAATGAGCAATTGTACCAGCCCTCAGTGGAGATTACTCACCCACTTTGTTTTGTCTGATAAGTGCCTTGGGATTGTTTCTCCTTTGTGCCCTGACAATGGTGCCGTGGGAATGCAGGGTATTGTTGTACCTGTGCAAGCTTTGACCATGGCTCTCATCCGGAGGCCGAGGGCACACGGATGGCGAAGGCACACGGAGTGCAGAGAAACACATTTCACAATGGCTGGCCTGACGCAAATGTAGAAAGAATTTTTAGTTTTGAAGTGCGTCAGTCCTTGACCATTGGGTAGCGCTTACTCCCTTTCTCTCGCTCTCGCCTGAGCCTGAAGATTGTGGGGTCAAGGCCCCCACTCCAGAGACTAGAGTAACAACATTCAGGCTGATGTCCCCCATGTGGGACAGGAGGGTGGTGGGGCAGCACAGTTATCAGTGCCCTCTTTCAGGTGGGGCAGAGAAAGAAATCCTCATCATCCTGGGGCCAATATTTATTTTGCAGCCAACAGCATGAGCTGGGAATATTTGGTGGTGAGCATGGAGCTGTTTGTGGGAGCTTGATGTGCATGTATTTGGCTGCCCTGTTTCCAATAATACAACAATCGAAAAGTACTTAAAAACAGTTTGGGACTTCTTGAGGTGGCGAGGCCAATAATGTGCTAGCACTGTGAAGGAAGCATCCACTTAAGTGCCTTTTGGTATCACAAATCACAATTTAGAAGCAGCTGTCAGCAGCCCCATCATGGCGGCCTCTCCCATCAGAGGCACAGTCCTGAGTCCAATTACTGTTCCTGGGGCCTGAGCACTGAGGGAATGCTGCACTGCCCAGAGATGCCACCTTCCAGATGAACTGCCCTCTCAAGGTAGCAAGGAGCAGAAGCGGGTGGTCATAAACCATCACACGGCCTTATTTCTAAATTATTTGGGAGCGGAGAGATTCAGGGATATGTCCTCCCTGGTGCCCTGGACAGCAATACTTATCATTCCACTCACGTTATTTTTGTTCAAAAATGATAGACAACCTGGTTGTAAACTCATTGCCACTTGCAGGATCTTCCCGTGCGCAACTGGCCGCCATGTCTCCAACGATACAACAGCGACTATACTTCAGTTTGAAAAAGCGCATCATCATTGGCTGTGAAGTGTCTGTGGCATCCACGGGCTGTGAAAGGTGTTACAGAAATGCAAGACTGTCTTTAGGTCCCTGAGAGCCGACGCACTATTATTGGTTCCTTCGTCTGCATTTGTTACAAACTAGAGAAAAAAGAAAACGAGAAAAGACAAAATTTACATCTTAATCAAGGATCAGGTCCTCCTGCTAGCCTCATCCACACCAGTTTAAATTAATTCCCAAACCATTCTCACATTCACTTGAGGGATCTGACACTGAACTGTGGGGACTATGATATCACAGCAAAATGTCCATGCTTTATTTGAGTTGAGTTGATGTTTCCCAGTAAAACGTACGGGGGAGATGGAGTTGAGTGGGATTCATAGATAAATGCAATCTGTCAGGCGGTAGTACAGAAATTGAGTATCACTGAAAATAGGGCACATTGCCAAATTTCAAACAACCACAACAAATTTATACTACAGGAAAACAGGGTGCTGACTGGAAGTCAGAATTGGCTTGCAAATTCATATATGTCAACGCCTCAAGTTACAAATTCTAACCTTGTTAAATTCCATCCTGTCTCCTTAACGTTCTTTAGCTCTACCATCCTCTGAGATCTCTGCGCTCCTCCAATTCAAAACCCTTGCATATCCTCGATTTTAATCGCTCCACCCATTTGCAGCCCCTGCTTTCACTTGCCTGTGCCCCAAGTTCTGGATCTACCCCCCCACCCCCACTTCTCTTTTTCTCCCTGTTTAAGGTGCTTCTTAAAACTGATCTCTTTAACCAAGATTTTGGTCACTGGATCATAATATCTCCTCATGCAGCTCTGTGTCAGATTGGAGTCTCGGTTAAGCTCACCCTGGAATGTTTTGGAGGCACTTCATAAATGCAGGTTGTTGTTTTCAACATCATTACTATTAACTCCTGAGAACTAATGGTGAAGAAAGGTTGGGGAAGGGGTGAATGAACTGCTCTTTCAAAAGGTTGGCACAGGCATGTCGAGCTGGACAGCCTCATCAGCGCTGCAGTAACCCTCCATTCCAAGATGGCACCAAAATAAAACAGAGGGTAAGGAACGTTAGGCATTCTTGCCAGCTTGAGAAACAGTAGATGAAAAACTAAACAAAAGTACTGCAGTTGCTGGAAATCAGAAATGAAAACACAATTGTTTGAGAAATTCAACATGTCTGGCAGTATCTGTGGAAAGAGAAAGCAGAGTCAATGTTTCAGGTCCAGTGACTTGTCTTCAGAACCCAAGAAGAGTCTCTGAACCTGAAACATTGGCTCTATTTTCTCTTTCCACACTAAAATGAGTCAAAGATAAATAAAGTTCATTGTTCTGTACCTATTTCATATTGCGTGCCTTCATCAGCTTCTGTCTTCTCTCTAGGGGAACTTCCTCCAAATTAAGGCCATGGTTACTGGCTCTGATGACAAGAGAGAGAGACACACACAGAGAGAGAGAGAGAGAGCACGAGAGGAGGTTATACTGCTTAAATGCGGAACCAACATATTATAAATGGAACATACAGGCATGGGAAAAATTGCAGAAAAAAAGATTTATGAAAATAGATGATATTGTAATGTAACATCACTGGACTAGTAATCCAGAAGCTAATAGTCTGAGGATGTGGGTTCAAATCTCACTATGACAACTGGGGGAATTTAAATCCAATAAACAAATCTGATCTCAGATGATGTCAGCCACAAATAAATCCAATTAGAATCCAGGAGAAATTTCTCTGCACAAAGCATGGCGAAAATGTGGAATCGCAAGCACAGGGGAGTGAATGCTGTAGATTTATTTAAGAGGAAGCTGGATAAACACATGAGGGAGAAAAGAAAAGAAGGTTTATAAAGTCATAGAGCTGTACAGCATGGAAACAGACCCTTCGGTCCAACTCATCCATGCCAACCAGATATCCTAGATGAATCCAGTCCCATTTGCCAGCATTTGGCCCATATGCCTCTAAACCCTTCCTATTCATATACCCATCCAGATGCCTTTTAAATGTTGCAATTATACCAGCCTCCAACACCTCCTCTGGCAATTTATTCCACACACACACCACCCTCGGTGTGGAAAAAGTTGCCCCTTAGGTTCCTTTTAAAACTTTCCCCCCTCACCCTAAACCTATGCCCTCTAGATCTGGACTCCCCCACCCCAGGGAAAAAACCTTGTTTATTTACCTTATCCATGCCCCTCATGATTTTATAAACGTTTCAGCCTCTGACACTCCAGGGAAAATAGCCCCAGCTTATTCAGCTCTTCCTATAGCACGAACCCTCCAACCCTGGCAATATCCTCATAAATCTTTTCTGAACCCTTTCAAGTTTTACAACATTGTTCTTACAGCAGGGAGACCAGAATTGAATGCAGTATTCCAAAAGTGGCCTAACCAATGTCTTGTACAGTCTCAACATGACCTCCCAACTCCTACACTCAATGCGCAACAATTAAGGCAAGCTTTGTTTGTTATTGTGTCTACCTGTGACTCCACTTTCAAGGAACTCTGAACCTGCACTCCAAGGTATCTTTGTTCAGTAACACCCCCACATGACCTTACCATTAAGTGTATAAGTCCTGCCCTGATTTGCCTTTCGAAAATGCAGCACCTCACATTAATCTAAATTAAACTTGTGAAGTAAGTTGGAAGATACATAACCAGGAGGAGGTAGTCGGGCCAAGTGGCCTGTTTCCTCCTGTATTATTACACAGATCAATAAAATCTTTGGCAGACACAAGTCTGAACTCTCAGCCAAAATATGTGATAAGAGTGGTCATGGGGTGGAGAATAGGGGCTGCTCAGTAATCTGATGCAAAGTAGTCAAAAAGGCAAGGTGATTCTGGAAGCACTAACACTTGCCTACAGTTTCAAAGCTATAGACTGCAAATATCAACTGTGACTTAGAAGTTAACCCTCAAGCCTCTGAGCCACGTATCGCTCCAGAGACTGACGTAAGCATGGAATACAGGCCAAAAGTTTCAGTGTCAGTCCCAGGGGACTACTCCACTCTCCAAGGAGGTGCCTTTAGGATGAGTGTTAAATTGAGGCCCCGCCTGCTTCTCCAGGGTAAAAGATTCTAGAAATTAAACTAGAAAGTCTGGGGGAAGAAGTATAGGAAGTATAATGGCCAATGGGAAACAAGCATCAGGTTAGCACCTGTGGGGGTGGATTCAACTACATTGGAAAGTATGAAATAATGAAAAGAAAGGAGAACTCGTGAGAGGTTATTAAAGCCAAAACAGGACAATAGAATTTGGAAAGGGTTAGGAATCAAACTTCAAGCACACCAGATAAAGGGATGACAATGAGAAGAGGGACGGTAAATTCAGGAAAGGAGGTGTTGTATCAGAATGCACGCAGTATACGAAATAAGGTAAATGAGCTTGTGGCGCAGATCGAAATTAGTAGGTATGATGTGGTGGGCATCATGGAGACGTGGCTACAAGGGGATCATGACTGGGAGCTAAATATCCAAAGATATGCGTCCTGTCAAAAAGACAAGCAGGTGGGCACAGTGGGTGGGGTTGCCTTATTAGTAAGAAATTAAATTAAATCCATAGCTAGAAACGATGTAGGGTCAGATGATATAGAATCTGTGTGGGTAGAGTTGAGGAACCGCAAAGGTAAAAAAACCATAATGGGAGTTATGTACAGGCCTCCAAACAGTAGTCAGGATGTGGGGCACAAGATACACCAGGAGACAGAAAAGGTGTGTAAGAAAGGCAAGGTTACAGTGACCGTGGAGAATTTTGATATGCACGTAGACTGGGAAAATCTGGTTGGTGGTGGATCACAAAAAAAGGAATTTGTGGAATGTCTACGAGATAGCTTTTTGGAGCAGCTTGTGGTGGAGCTGACTAGGGAACAGACAATTCTAGATTTAGTGATGTGCAATGAGGCAGATTTGGTAAGGGAGCTTAAGGTGAAAGAACCCTTAGGAAGCAGTGACTATAATATGATAGAATTTACTCTGCAGTTTGACAGGGAGAAGCTGGAATCAGATGTAATGGTATTACAGTTGAATAAAGGCAACTACAGAGGCATGAGGGAGAAGCTGACCAGAATTGACTGGGAGAGGAGCCTAGGAGGAAAGACAGTGGAACAGCAATGGCAGGAGTTTCTGGGAGTAACTTGGGAGACACAGCAAAAATTCATCCCTAGGAAAAAGAAACATATTAAAGGAAGGACAAAGCAACCATAGCTGGCAAGGGAAGTCAGGGACAGCATAAAAGCAAAACAGAAAGCATATAATGTGGCAAAGAGCAATGGGAAGCCAGAGGATTGGGAAGTCTATAAAGACCAACAGAGGACAATAATAAATTAGGAGGGAGAAAATTAAATGTGAGGGTAAGCTAAACAGTAACATAAAAGAAGACCAAGAGTTTCTTTACGTATATATAAAGGGCAAAAGAGTGGCAAAAGTGGACATTGGACCAATGGAAAAGTAGCAATGTGGAGGAAAGAAATGTCAGAGCAGCTAAACAAGTATTTTGCGTCAGTCTTCACGTTGGAAGACACTAGTAACATCCCAAAAATTCAAGAGTCCGGGGGCAGAGGTGAGTATGGTGGCATGGTGGCTATCACAAGGAGAATGTGCTAGAAAAACAGAAAGGTCTGAGGGTAGATAAACCACCTGTACCAAATGGACTACACCCCAAAGTTCTGAAGGTGCTAGCTGAAGAGATACTGGAGGCGTTAGTGGTGATCTTTCAGGAATCACTGGAGTCAGGAAGGGTCCCAGAGGACTGGAAAATTGCTAATGTAACCCCACTGTTTAAGAAGGGAGTAAGGTAAAAGACGGGAAATTACAGGCTGATTAGCCTGACCTTGGTCCATTTTGAAGGATGAGCTTTCTGAATACTTGGAAGTGCATGGTAAAATAGGGCAAAGTCAGCATGGTTTCATCAAGGAGAGGTCATGCCTGACAAATCTGTCAGAATAATGGGGTTGAGAAACATTTCAGACATGATTGAATGGCGGAGCAGACTCGATAGACTGAATCGCCTAATTTCTGCTCCTATGTTTTATGGTCTTATTCTGGTGCCACTCCCTCTTGAAGGGAGAGAGAGCAGATCAGTTCTCCCTGGATTCCTAATAATAATAATAATAATAATAAACTCTAATAATTCTCTCTCAGACAACACCATGAATACCAGACGTTGCAGTCAGCGTCACATTACTTGTGACGTTAGTCTTTTTCCAGCAACTCCAAGGGACCTAATGACTTACTCTTGCCTCTATTTCTTGTGTTCACTGTCTTCAGGTACGTGGTGAATTAATGTAGGAAACAGGAGAAGACCATTCAGACCATCAAGCCTGTTAGACCAACCAATCTGATAATGGCTGATCTACTATCTCCATATGCCTGATGCCATTAGTATTGTGAAATCTATGAATTTCTGTTCTGAACTTCCTTCAGGCCTCTGGAATAGAGAATTCATTACCTTCTGAGTGAAAAAATTCTCATAATCTCAGCCTTAAGTGACCTGTCCTTTATCCTGACACCATGTCCCCTGGTTCTAGACTCACCAACTGGGGTAGGAAGTGCAGTAACATTACGTCTACATCCACCCCATAAGGCCCTGTAAGAATTTTACACAGTTCCATGAGATCATCTCTCAGACTTTGAATACAGGACCCAGTTTCCTCAATCTTTCTTCCTGAGACAAAATGACCACCTCACCTGTACTCTCACTACTGTTCCATACAAGGCTACTTGCCTCCAGTTGCTTATGCCTCAATTCCAGTTACCATCCTCAACTCCAACTCCTTTCGTTCCCTTCTCCAACAAAATCTGGCAATCGCAGTCTCGACAGCTCCACAATGACCCCCACTGCTTATTTTTTTAATTTGGGAGTGGTTTGTGTGAAGGCACATGTTCTGACATCTCCACCCAACCCTGAACAGCCTAGCTCAAATTTCAAGGTTCTTCACCATTGTTTGTGCCTCATTGTCCACCCCACTCCCCAGCAGAGAATACACAGTTTCTACCTACCAACCTAAACCATCTCTTAAATACCTCAGCTAGATGAACTCTTGAGTCCTGCAGTATGGCCAACAAAAGAAGACACCTACCCTGGTAAGAGATTTGGAGGAGTCGGCAACGGTTTATTAAAGCCCTCTCTTCCAACCAGCCAAAAGGTATCCTCAAAGCCTTTGCCCTTAAGAAAGGAAGCACAGTTAACGATAAACGCTCCACATACTTATTCAATCATTTTCTTCATTACCAATCACTGCAGCACTGAATAAGGATGAGATCACCTTCACTTACAACCCCTTTCTCCCTCCTTCAGCCAAACACATCCTCAAACAGTATGTCAAAGGAAGAAGCCAATTGGCACATCGAGTTCTCACTGGCTCTTTTTTTAATTCATTCACAGGATAGGGGTTTTGCTGGCTGGGCCAGCATTTACTGTCCATTCCTAGTTGCCCTTGAGAAGGTTGATTGAATGATTATTGTCACATGTACTGAGATACAATGAAAAGTGTTGTTTCGCGTGGTACATAGGCAGATCATACCATACAAAGTGCATTAGGGCAGCAGAACAGAGTGCAGCATACAGTGTTATGCACAGAGAAGGTGCAGAGCGAGAGAGATCAGAAATAACATGTCTGAAGTCTATTCGAAAGTCTGATAACACGTTGAAGAAGCTGTCCTTGAATCCACTAAATCTGAAACAGGAGGGACAGTGGCTCAGAGGGGAACTTGCAGGGTGTGGTGTTCCCATCTATCTGCTGTCCTTGTCCTTCTAGATGGTAGAGATCATGGGCTTGGAAGGGGCTGTCTAAGGAGTCTTGGTGAATTTCTGCAATGCATCTTACAGCTGGTACACACTACTGCATCATGGTAGAGGAAGTGGACGTGGTGCCAAGCAAGCAGGCTTTGTCGCGTAAGGTTTCAATCTTGTGTGTTGTCGCAGCTGCACTCATTCAGGTAAGTGAGGAGTATTCCATCACCTGGATTAGTGTCTTGTAGATGGGAGACAGGCTTTGGGGAGTCAGGTGAGTTACTTGCTGTTGTAGCCAATCAACGTGGCAAGTCCAATTGATAAGCCCCCAGGAGTGAGAGATTCAGTGAAGATAACACCATTGAGTGTTAAGAAGCTATGGTCAGTTTCTCCCTTGCTGCAGATGGTCATTGCCATCTTTCAGAATGCCATCCAGTTTGTCTCACACAAAATGCTCTTTCCCCATATTCCTAGAGGGCGTTTCTCCTTCAGATTTTTATTTAATTCCCTATTGAAGGCTATGATTGAATCTGCCTCCACCGCACGCACTCAGGCAGTACATTCCAGGCTCCTCATGCCCACCTTATTAAAAATCAAATTGCCTCTGATTCCTTTGCCAATCACTTACAGAACATGTCCCCAGGTTATACAGCCTTCAGTCATTGCAAGTAGTCTCTCCTAATTTACACAACGTTAACCTTTTGTGATTTTGAACACTTCAATCAGATCTCATCTTAATCTTCTCTGATCGAAAGAAACAATTCAAGTCTCTCCACATTACTGAAGTCCCTAATCTCTGGAACTATTCTGCTACATCTCTGCCAGACCCTGTCCAATGTGTTCACATCACTCCAAAAGTGCAGCGCCCAGAATTGAAAACAGTAATTTAGTAAGAAGCTGAACTATTGTCTTATATAGGTTCAGCAAAACACTCTGGCTTCTGAACTCTGCACCAGTACTTATAATGCCCACAATTCCATATATTTCAGTAACTTGTCCTGCTACGTTCAACCTTTCATGTACAAAGGCTCTCAACCTGTGATACTATCAGCTTCTGTACCTTCAATTCAGTCTTCCCTCGCAGTTCTACTTTGTAGCCCAGGTTGAGGTTCTTTAAAACGGTGACTGTGCTTTCATTCAAATGGATTCGATAGGCTGAAAATAGAGATATTATCGATTATACCTAAACAGCTGGACAATTATATCGAGCATAGAAAGGATCACAGACTGAGTTACAGACTGGAATCTAATCGAGGGGTTCGGTGTGGTTTACATATAGAATAACAGATACCCAGGACTCAGTTACAGATTGGAATTTAATCAAGGGGTTTGGTGTGGTTTATATTTAGAATAACAGATACCCGGGAGTGAGTTAGAGACAGGAATCTAATCGAGTGGTTCAGAGTGGTTTATATATAGAATACCAGACATCCAGGAGTGAGTTACAGACTGGAATCTAATCAAGGGGCTTGAATAGTTTGTAATTTATTATATTAATTCTGGGAAATATTCAAGTGCTTCCTAACTCCATATAGAGGCCTACCCTCAAACTGTCTGTATCAGTAAAGAATGGTTATGATATGAGATTTAATAATACTGTCCTTCTTATATTCATTCATGGGATGTGGGCATCACTGACTGGGCCTGCATTTATTGCCCATCCCTAATTGGCCCCGGAGAAGGTGGTGGTGAGCTCCTTCTTGAACCGCTGCACTCTGTGTGGTGTGGAAACAACTACACGGTGCTATGGGGGAGGGCGTTCCAGGATTTTGACCCAGCCATGTTTAAGGAACAGCGTCATAAGACAAAATAAATGCTTCATAGAGAGTTTATGACTATGACCATTTGATTCAGGGCATGAGATGGAGCTCCTTAGATGTATTCTGTAGGGCTCATTCTTCACCAAGCACTTAAGGAGGTGTCCGTGAGAGATCAATCCTACCTTAGTGAGACGCTCAGTGGTTGCTTAGTGACTGGCAATGCAGCTGTGGGTAGGAATTGTTTTGGGCAGGTTTCAGACTCCTCCCATAACCATAGCCACTCTGCCCCCAACATAGAAAACAATTAAAATTAAATAATTAATTCATTTCCAGAGCCCATTTCATACACTTAGCACGTCTCACTGTGCTTTGTAGTTTATGTAACAGGGGAACAAACAGGGGAACATGGCTACCAATTTATTCATAGCAAAATCTTACTGTGCTGTTAGTGGGAATGGCCACATCAACTATTTATCCTCTATGATGCTGGCTGATTCAGGATTCCAGGGTGACAACCCACTCCATCTCTTCACCACCGCCTCCCAATCCCCACACAGCATCTTTCTTCAAAATGGTGGCCATGGGACCTTATACATCCACCTTTTACATTCATGAGAACCTCGCCTTTACTCACGCAAACCAGTAGACTCCATCCGCGAAGCAGTGTTGACTGTGTCTCCGAAAAGGCAGTACCTTGGCATGGTCAGTCCTACCACCCCTGCCACACATGGACCTTGAGAAAGAAACAGGCCTTCAGACGTGGCTTTAATGGTCACACACAGCTCTTCCACTCTTTTAACCAAGAGTCATCACCGAAAAATCCTTTTTTTGTTTGTTTATCGTTCAGTGAGAGAAGCAGGATGCTCACTCTTCAGCAACATGAACTAACACTGGAGCTTTGTTTATCAAGCAAGATTCAACATCAACCACATGCAGATTTATAAGGGTAGGTTGCAAAAAACCTTGCCAAATAGGGTAGCTTTTTAAAACTAAAGATTTCCATTTCTATAGTGCCTTTCTTTGACCACCAGATATCCCAAAGAGTTCTGGTCATTGTCATACTGCTATCTGTGGGAGTTTGTTGCATGCCAGCTAGAAGCTGCACTTCCTACATTCCAACAGTGACTGCATCTTAGATAAAGTATTTCACTGGCATCAATGCACTTTGGGACATCCTAAAGGTGTTAAAGGGATGCACTAAAATAAAACAAAGAACTGCAGATGCTGGAAATCTTCAACAAAAACAGAAATTGTTGAAGAAGCTCAGCATGTCTGGCAGCATCTGTGGACAGAGAAACAGAGTTGACATAAACTATGTTTTCCCTCCATAGATACTGCCAGTACTCTGTTTCTCCTTTTTATTATTTCTGCTTTTGTTATAAAGAAATGCAAGTCCTTTCTTGTTTTTAATTCACTCTTTTTGATTCACTCCAAGCTCTTGTCCAAACTGCCTATTATTTTCTTCATTTTAGTTTCTCTTCCCAAGCAATGTGGGTGTCACTGTCAAGGCCAGCATTTGTTGCCCATCCCTAATTGTCCTTGAACTGAGTGGCTCACCGCATCATGTCAGAGGGCAGTTAAGAGTCAACATCATTGCTGTAGGCCTGGAGTCACATGTAGGTCTGACTGGGTAAGGACACAGATTTCTTTCCCTACAGGAGCATTAGTGAACCTGATGGGATTTCAATCACTGAATTTTTAAAAAATTATTCACTTGCATGTGTTGCTGGATGGGCCAGCATTTATTGTCCACCCTATTTGCCTTTGAGAAGGTGATGGTGAGCTGCCTTCTTGAACCAATCCGTTTGCTATAATGCCACACAATGCCATTAGGGATGGAATTCCACCTATTAACTGAAATTAAATCCAACTCGCTGCTGTGGTGGAATTTGAACCCGTATCCCCACAGTATTAGCCTGAGCCTCTGGATTACTAGTGACATTAACAGTAAACTGCCATCTCCCTTAAAAGAAAAGACTTACTTAGAAAGCTATGTCTAAACATGGGCAACATACCTGAATGCAATCCGATTCGGATCCGCACTGGAACTTCAGGCATGTGCCTCATCTTGAAAGTCCCCATGCTGCTGAGGATGTCCAGGGACATGTTAGCTATTTCTGCTGCATGTCGGTTCCCGTTACGAGTTGGAAGTCCGGATGCCACCATGTATGCATCTCCAATCGTTTCAACCTAGAACCACAGACTGCAAGAGTGATACAGCACAGAAAGTGGCCACTCGGCCAGTCATGGCTCATTCGTAAATATTGCTGACGAACAGCCTTTGGTAATGCAAATTGCTGGAAAGATACAGAGAGTCTAAGCTACCTGCCTCACATTCATCAGGACTCAACACAAGAAAATCACATTTAGAGATGACAGTGTATACAACATGAGAAGAGGGTGCTGATTGATTGGCATGGAGACACACCAGGAACAGTTAACAAATCTGTTCTAAAGCGTCACTGGATCCGAAACGTTAACTCTGATTTCTCTTCACAGATGCTGCCAGACCTGCTGAGTTATTCCAGCAATTTTTATTTTTGTTTCTGAACAAATCTCCATTGCAATTGTCAATCGCCAATTGACATGCATGGAGCTTCCAAGCTCAACGTAAAGGAAACACTGACGAGGTAGTAATCGATCGAAACTGAAATCAATCACAGTTTAATTTGTAAAGTGGTCAGACTTTTCACTGACTGGATAGAACAAAACCTTCCCAGTGTGTTTAACACCCATTCCTAATTGCAATCATAAGATTTAGGAAGTATTTAGATGTGCACTTGTGATGTCAAGGCTATGGGCCATGGACTGGGAAATGAGATAAGAATAGTTAAGTGGTTGTTTATGACCAAGACAGACGAGATGGGCCACAGGGCCTTTTTCCATTCTCTATGATTTTAACTCGGTGGCTTGCCAGGGCCATCACAGAGACCAATCAGGAATCAACCATATTACTGTGGGTTTGTTGTTTGGATAGAAATAGCAGAATTCTTTCCCTAAGTACATTAGTCTGATGATATTCCAAAACTTCGTAATCATCATTTCAGAGACTAGTGCTTTCTTCCAGATACATTAAATTAATTGAATTCCAAAATTTACTGCCACAGTAGGATTTGAACTTTTGCCTCCGGATCATCAGTCCAGGCCTCTGGTTATTAATCCAGTGACATTACCACTAGGCTACCATCCAAACAGGAGTCTTAATGGGCATAGAAAGGAGAAAGCGTTCTAGAGTCAGAGATATACAAATCACTTCTTTCCCCTGACAGCAGTGAGAAGGTGGAACTGACTCCCAAAGAGGGTGTTATTGAGGTGAACAGTGTCCATGTAATTAAGGACAGGCTGGATAAACACGAAAGACAGAAAAGATTAGAAGGGAGAAATGGAGAAGGGAAGGAGAAGCCTCACGTGGAGGGCATTGACCAAGTGGCCTGTTAAATGTTTTATACTTGCGTACAATCTGAATTAAACTTTATATAATTAGGACTGAGTAAGCTTCTTACACACAGCTAGATCTCCTCCGAGCGATCGCCTGAATTGGTCAAATATGACCTGACAAACCCGTGAAATTCATTCTGAGCTACCTTGTAGACATCGTGGGAGCCGATGATGGCATCAAACAAAGTATAGAGGTTGTTGAGAAGGTCGACCACCTCGATGGGGTCGCTCATGGCTGAAATGGTGGTGAAGCCAACAATGTCGCTGAAGTAGATGGTCACCTGCTCGAAATGCTCAGGCTCCACTGGGACGCCTCTCTTCAGTGCCTGGGCAACAGAGCTGGGGATTCAAGGAAGGAATAATGAGTCAGCAATCTCTGACTGATAATCACACCTAGACTTTCAGAGAGAAATGGTGTTTGACATACGTACACTCTTTCATACTCACTGAAGGGATGCAGACATTACTAGGAGGGCCAGAATTTGATGCCCATCCCCAACTGGCCCTTGAGAAGGGCAGGTAAGAGTCAATTAGATTGGCTGTAGGTCTGGAGTCACATGTAGGTCAGACCTAGCTAAGGAAGGCAGATTTCTGTCCCTAAGGGGCATTAATGAACCAGATTTTTTTTTCAATTGTTGGCCAAGCACATGGAAATATTTGTTAAGAAGAATTATAGGAACCTTGGGTTCATAAATAGAGTCATACAGTGTGAAAGCAAGGAAATGATACTACACCTCTACAGATCATTGGTCAGACCATATTTGGAGCATTGTGTTCAGTTCTGGGCACCTTATTTAAGGAAGGATGTTTAATGTTTTAACGAAGGTCTGTAGGTCGGGTTGTGGTTGGCGTTGTTGGTGGGTTCGCTGAGCTGACTGGTTTTCGTGCAAACGTTTTGTCTCCCTTCTAGGTGACATCTTCAGTGCTGCCTCCATTGAAATGCTGTTGTTCTGTCCCACTCTGAATTTATATGGTCCAGTCTGTCAAGGTTAGCAGTCTTGTTTCCAGTTTTGTACTGTAATGGTATGCAGATGGGGTCTATTTCAATTTTTGTTTAATGCACCGGTGGTTGAAAACCATTCTCCAGGAATTCTTGTGTTTGTCTTTGTTTTGCTTGTCCTAGTACTGTCACTTTGTCCCAGTTAAACTCATGTTCTTCTGTGTCAGAAGGATGTTAAAAGCCCAGAAAAGAGCTAGAGAATGATACCAGAAATGAGGGGCTTTAGATACAAAGAAATATTAGAGAAAGTGGCTTATTCTTCTTGGTGCAGAGGTGACCTTATTGATGTGTTCAAAATTATGAACAATTTTGACAAGATAAAGAAGGATATTCTATTTCGAGTAGATGCTAGGTCAGTAACCAAGGCGTCACAATTTCAAGATTGTCAGCAAGACAGCTAGGAGTGAGACAAGGAGAAGCTGCTTTACTCAGAGTTGTTCAGATTTGGAATGTGCTACCTTTAGGAGAATGGCGTAGGCAGATTCCATTGGAGATTTCAAAAGAGATCCAGGTATATATTTGAAAGTGATAAATTTAGACCGCTCAGAAATAAGGCTGGAGAATGGGACTAGCTGGTTATTGGAGGAAGACATGTGGAGAAACGTGGGGAGACCAAGAGGGAGAGACTGATTGAGCCTCAAGATCCTCCAGAACAACCAATTAGGTAATTGAAGTGCAGTTACTATTGCCATTTAGGCATCGCAGCAGCCAATTTGCACATGTTCTCACATGCAATATTCCCCACATAATCTATTTTAGTGATGTTGGACATTAGGGAGGTGTCTCCGCGATTCTTCACAAAGAGTGGCCATGGGGCTCTTTTTTTTTACATTCACCTGAGAGGGCAAACTGGACCTCGGCTTGATGTCCATTCTGAAAGTCAGCGCCTCAGACAGTATAGCACTCCCTCAGCACTACACCAGGACAGTCAGAGATGGGACATTCACTCAGCTATGCTCAACCCAACCACAGCCTACGCCTACCTCTCCCAATGAGGGTGATGTCTCTATTCGCCGGAGGACTAAAGGGGGAGATGTGGTTTGGCACTCACGGTGGCAGCATCTGCGTCAGGAGTTGTTCAGTTTTCTGCTTCTCAATCTCCAGCTCCTCTGTCCTCTCTTTGATCAGGTCCTCCAGATTGCTGGAGTACTGCTCCAGCATCCGCAGCATTGAGTCAATAATGTTTGTCTTCTTGCCCTTGTTAATGTTTTTAAACTGCCGGCACAAGGAAGGAACAAAAAGGAAGATCAGCTCTCCCGGGTCCTGCCAAAAAGGCAAACATGTCTTTTTTAATTCATCGGATGAGGGTGTTGCTGGCTAGGCCTGCATTTATTGCCCATCCCTAATTGCCCAGAGGGCCATTAAGAATCAAATCAATCACACTGCTGTGGGACATGTACGCCAGACCAGGTAAGGATGGCTATTTCCCTCCTTAAAGAACATTAATGAACCAGATGGGATTTTCCGTCAATCAACAATGGATTCATGGTCATCGTTAGACTCTTACTGCCAGATTTTTGTTTTATTGAATTCAAATTCTGCCATCTACATGGCAGGATCCGAACTCGGATCCCCAAAATATCAACTGGCTTCTTGGATTAACAGTCCAGCAACAATATTACTAGGCCATAGCCAAGTATTTTCATTTTGAAATCATCAAAATCAAAGCAAGAATGCCAAATTTCAAACAATCACAACATTGCATACTGCAGGAGAAAAGGCGGCTAAGAATTTGCAGCTCAATTCTGGAGCCTCTTACATCTCAGAGGCTGTACCTGAATGAGAGAAGTGGTGCTGACCTGGTCAAAGATCTGGTCAAAATTGGTTCGTCTCTCGGGTTGCTCACTCCAGCATTGTTTCATGATCTGGATGCACTCCATGGGGGCAAGATCTGGTGAGACAGAGGGCCGGCACAGTGGTGGAGGCTTCTGAACTTTCTTGACGATATCTGAAATAGAACAGAAGAAGTTTTGTAGAAAACACCACAGAAGTAGCCACCTCCGTACCAACCCTCCTAGTCACAGTGATCAGCAAGTTTGATGTAAAAACAAAAAGAACTGCAGATGCTGTAAATCAGAAACAAAAATTGAAATTGCTGGAAAAGTTCAACAGGTGTGGCAGCATCTGTGGAGAGAAATCAGAGTTAACGTTTCAGGTCGAGTGACCCTTCCTCAGAACTGCTACCAGACCTGCTGAGCTTTTCCAGCAATTTCTGTTTTTGTTGAGCAATAGCACTGGTCAATAGCAGCCTGGACAATAAATGACCTGTCCAGATGATATTTCAGATGATTGAGAACTGGCCTAGTTCCAATCTTCATTTCTTCTCTTAGAAGTCTCCTTAAGCCCCAAAATATGAAGGGAACTTTTACATCATTGAAAAGAGACGTGGTGCTGAAGTTTTTCAACTTAGACTCATCAGGGCAAACACAGGAATGTTCAAAATTCAAACAATCACAACTTATACCACAGGAGGAAAGGGGGATAATTTGTTCGCAGATTGTCCCTGATTGGTTGAGGCATTGTCATGATGGAAGCAATAGGGAACTAGACACTTTGCAGTGCAAGATGGGATGCCCACCTTGAAGAAGTTATCCTCCTCCCTCTGGAAAGACCTCAGTGAATCTCTCTCCCACTGCAACCCTCTGGTAATCTCTTCGGCCCTCAAACTGTTTACCTCCTTGACCTGTCCGTTTTCTCTCCTATCTATCCGCTCCTCCCGCCTCACTGACCAATCCCCACCTCTGCCTACCTGCACTCACCTATCACCATCCTACCCACCTTCCCCAGCCCCACCCCTCCTCTCTCTATTTATTTCAGAGCTCCCTTCCTCCTCCCCCATTTTTGAAGAAGGATCCCGACCCGAAACATCAGCTTTCCTGCTCCTCTCCCTAGCCTGCTGTGTTCCTCCAGCTCCACACTGTGTTACTTAAGATGGGAACACATTCCTTTTGTTTGCAGAGAATGGTCCCTGCCATATGAATGTACATCAATTCCAGCAAACCCACATTGCAAGCCCAACTGATTGTCTTAGATTGGTTGTTGTAGCTACATTTTTACAGTTTGTGGGTAAATCCCATGGAACACCAATCTAACAATCAGGAACCATTTGAGTATTGCTACATGTGGATAGTAAACAACTGATGTATCAAGAAACTGGGGGAACTAAGTCTCTCGTCTAAAGACAGTCACAAACACAGGGTGAAGGCAGTTACTTGATCAAGAGTTTTAAGATGGCCAAGCTGTAGCATGAATAGAAACTGCTTTCCTAGCAGGAAAGCTCATGAGTGAGCATAGTGGACCGCAAACCTTTAAGGCAGGGGTAGAGACCTAATTTTCCAACATATAAACCATGCTCAGTTGGTGGCACTTTCTCTCTGTGTCTCTTGTGAGATTCAATACCCACTCCACAGACCTGAACACAAAATTCAGGCCCATGCTCCCAGTGCTGTGCTGGAAAAAGTGCTGAGCTGCTGGAGGTGCCATCTTTTGGGATCAGGTGCTAAACTGGGGGTGGCGGGGAAGCCTTTCAGTTGAGCAGAAAACATCCCTTAGTCATTAATTTGAAAAAGAGCAGGGCAATTCTCCCAAGAGTCCTAGGGCCAATTTTTAATCACTCAACCAACAAGGATAAAGAGAAAATAAACACTTCTGCTGTTGTCACTTTGCTATTTGTGGGTTCATGCTGTGTGCAAATCAAAGGGGGTGCAACCGCAATTTGGAAAGAAGCAAGTACAGAACTGACTTTGGAAAAACTTTCAGTTGGGGAATGAGCAACCCATGGGTGGACAGATATTGGAGACAAACAATCACAATCAATGAAGGGATGGTTGGACAGTTTGATGGGATCCTGCAGATTATTTGAGATGTGAAAATGATAATGTTGTTGCTGTCAGAGAGTTATTACCACATCAGTGGCGGCCTTTTAGCCCATTGAGCCCATGCTGACTCTGTAGAGCAATCAGATCAGTCTCATTCTTCTCCCCACACCCTGCTCTATCCTTGTGGTCCCTGCAAGTTTATTTCCCTCGAGTGTCCCTCCAGCTACCTTTCAAAGACATTCTTTCCCTCAACTATCCCCCACCACCCTTCCCCTTGCTTGCCCCAATCAATCCCTTATCTCTACCCAACCCCCGTCGTCTCTCATCCCCTCTACCTCTCCCTTCCACTCTCTTCCTCTTCTCCCCTATCCTCCCACATAGGCACCGCCTTCCAGCTCATTAATCTGTGACCCCCCCTTCATGCTCACTTTCCCTACTTTCCCCAGCTTTCCCCAGATTAACGGCACAAGTCCAAGCAGCCAATGTTGTGACAGTGGGTGTACCATTAGGGCTCAAGTCCAGCATGGAGAATGGAGGTCCTCGCACTATCAATTCCTGAATAATGATGGAGAAGCTGTAGACATCTCCATAGAAAGTTCCCTTCTGCTCCAGGTTCGAGTCTCGGAGAAGTTCTGGTGCCGTCCAAAGTCGGTCTGGTGACAAGAAAAAAAATGTGAGAACTGGAATAGAATGGGAAATTCCTTCCCACAAAATTGAGATGAAAATGCAGAACTCTCACTCTGCTAATTTGTATACAGGTGTGTTAAGTTTGAATGTGTCACCACTATGTGTACCTACACTGGCGGGGGAAGTACTACAACAATGTGCCAAACACATCGTAGAGGTATAGAGCTGTACAGGGTGTAAACAGACCCTTCAGTCCAACTCATCCATGCTGACCAGATATCCTTAAGTAATCTAGCCCCATTTGCCAGCCTTTTCATTCATATACCCATCCAGATGCCTTTAAATGTTGCAATTGTACCAGCCTCCTCCACTTCCTCTGGCAGCTCCTTCCGTACACACACCACTCTCTGCATGAAAAAGTTGCCCCTAAGGTCCTTTTTAAATCTTTCCCCTCTCACCTTAAACCTATGCCCTCTAGTTTTAACAATCCCATGCCAGGGAAAAGACCTTGTCTATTCACCCAATCCATGCCCCTCATGATTTTATAAACTTCTATAAGGTCACCCCTCAGCCTCCGATGCTCCAGGGAAAATAGCCGCAGCTTTTGCAGCCTCTCCCGAAAGCTCAAACCCTCCAAGCCTGACAACATCCTTGTAAATCTTTTCTGAACCCATTTAAGTTTCACAACATCCTTCATACAGCAGGGAGACCAGAACTGCACACAGTATTCCAAAAGTGGCCTCACCAATGGCCTATCCAGCTACAACATGATGTCCCAACTCCTATGCTCAAGGTATGACCAATAAAGGCAAGCATACCAAACACTTTCTTCACAATCCTATCTACATGTAACTCCACTTTCAAGGAACTATGAACCTGCAGTCCAAGGTCTCTTTGTTCAACAACACTCCCCAGGACCTCACTGATAATTGTGTAAGTCCCTACCCTGATTTACCTTTCTAAAATGCAGCACCTCACATTTATCTAAAATGTGAACTGCAAAGCTGCCAATCTTGAAAAAGCACAGATGAAAATATCAGTGACATAGACACTTAGGGTACTCGCTGTCAGCTGTGGCGCTGTCCCACTCCAGAGATTTAGGTACATAATTCAGACTGACGTTCCCAGTGCAATACAGAGGGAGTGCTTCACTGTCAGAGGTACTGGCTTTACAAAGACATGTCTGTCCTTTCAGGTGGATGTAAAAGATCCTACAGCACTAGAATCTAGAATCTCTACAGTGTGAAAACAGGCCATTCAGCCCAACAAGTCCACACTGACTCTCCGAAAAGCATCCCACCCAGACTCAGCCCCTACCCTCTCCCTGTAACCCTTCATTTCCTGTGACTAACCCATATATCCTGCACATCCCTGGACACTGAGACAATTTAGCACAGCCAATCCACTTAACCTGAACATTTTTTGGACTGTGGGAGGAAACCGGAACACCAGAAGAAACCCATGCAAACACAAGGAGAATATGCAAACTCCAGTCACCCGAGGCTGGAATAAAACCTGGGACCCTGGCACTGTGAGACAGCAGTGCTAACCACCGTGCCGCTTGCTGTCAGGGAATTGCAGGGGGAGTTCTCCTTAGGTCAATATTTAACCCCAACATCATGAAAACAGATCATCTTCTCAATGATGCGCTGCTGTTTGTGGGAGATCACTGCATGTAAATTGGCTGCATTGTTTCCTACATCACAACAGTGATAAAACATCAAAAAACTGTAAAGAGAACTGGGAGGCCTTGAATTAATATCTCTGCTGGACGGTAGCTACCTGCAGTACACCACTGCAATGTCACCTGACAAAGGGGCTACGCTCCAAAAGCTTGTGATTTCAGATGAACCTGTTGGACTATAACCCGGTGTCGTGTGACTTCTGACTTTGTCCACCCTCCATCCAACACCGGCACCTCCACGTTATATTAAAGACAGCGATGAGGAGAAATTTCTTATCTCGCGAATCCTTAGTGTTTGGAATTCTCTTCCCCTAAGTGCACATTGAGGCTGGGTCACTTAATATGGCTAAAAATAATTTAGACAAACTTTGACAAACAATGCAGTCAAAGGTTGAAGGGTGGAGGGGGGCAAGAAAATGAAGTAACAGACACAAACAGATTATCCATAATTTTATTGAATAGTGGAGCAGGATGGAGGGACCAGATGGCCTACTTACACTCCTAAACCTTAGGTTGTTATTTCCTTAAAACCCACCCTGGTAAACCTGGCAAAAATTGCCAGAGAACATGAAGACTAGGAAAATATCAAGTTTGGTTCCTGGCCAACACTAAGTTAGCCATTCCAGAGTATCATTACCTTCTGGCTTCGGTTCCATCCACGTAATCTTTTGAACCGCCAGTAACTCATTATAACCATAGTCTGTCACCTTTAATACAAATCTTCCATCTACCACACAGTTCCTGGATTTCAAACGCCCATGAACCAGGTCTCGATGGTGAAGAAATTTCATGCCCTGTGAAATGAAGATGATGAGCATGAAACCTAAAGAATTCCAACTGTTGTTTCAAATCTCATGTCTCAACAAAATGTGAAAGAGGTGATCAACATGCGTTCCTTAAACACACAACTCGAAAGTCATTGAGACTGGGTCACAGACTCTAGCCAAGGCCGAGTTAGCTAGACTCTTGACAGAGAAGTGAGTCTAGGGTCGTGGAGGCAGACAGGAAAACAAGGTTGAGGTCATAATCACATCAGCCATGATCTTATTGAGAATTAGAGGTGATCTTATTGAAACATACAAGATTCTTAGGGGCTTAACAGGGTAGATGCAGAGAGGATGTTTGCCCTGTGGGAGGGTCGAGGACCAGAGGGCAAAATTGCAGAATAAGAAGTCGCCCAAGAAAAATTTCTTCTGAGGGTAGTGAATCCGTGGCATTCTTTACCAGAGATGGCTGTGAGACTTAAGTATATTCAAGGCTGAGATAGAGAGATTTCTAAATCAATAAGGGAATCAAGATTTATAGGGAAAAGGCAGGAAAGTGGAGTTGAGGTCTATCAGATCAGCCACAATCTCAATGAACAGCAGAGGGGACTCGATGGGCTGAATGGCTAGGGTTTTGCTAATGGTTACTCCCCATGTGCCTCCTTCCACCCAAAGTTATCCATCTCTATCAGGCTATCCATTCTTGATGTGTTGAACAATGAGACTGAACTCAACAGATAAGGGAACACTTAGCTTACAGTGGCCATATAACATGACTGAATTGAACATTAAGCTCAAGAGATGGAAGGGCAAGTCAGGAACTGACAAAGCAGATTTCAGCAGGATGGGTCAATGACAAGTCCATCACTGGGCATTATTATCAACTGAAGAAAAGCACGCATGAATAGTGCGGGCTATTTGGTAGAATAGAAGATCCTAAAAGGACAAGGCATGCAATAAACAACAGCTTAAAAGTGGGAGTCCAGAAAGCAACAATTAGATGATCCAAGTTTCACAGAAATACTTTCACAGAATCCCTACAATGTGGAAGCAGACCATTCAGCCCATCAAGCCCACACTGACCCTCCGAAGAGCATCCCACCCAGACCCACTCCTGTACCCTAACCTTGTAACCCTGCATTTCCCATGGCTAACCCACCTAGCCTGCACATCCCTGGACACCACAGAGCAATTTAGCATGCCAATTCACCATAACTGCAAATCTTTGGACTGTGGGAGGAAACCAGAGCTCCTGGAGGGAGAACGTGTGTGTGCAGTTTGCAGTTCCCAGGAGTGGAATTGAATATGGGTCCCTGGTGCTGTGATGGAAGGTGTCATTCACAGTGCTATCAAGCAGCATCTGCTCAACAATAATCTGGTTGATGACTCCCACTTGGGTTCTGTCAGGGCCATTCAGCTCCTGACCTCACCACAGCCTTGATTCAAACATGGATAAAAGAGCTGAATTTCAGAGGTGAGATGAGAGTGACAGCCTTTGACATCAAGGCTGCATTCAACCAAGTGTGGCATCAAGGAACCCTAGCAAAACTGGAATTAAAGAGAATCACAGGAAAACTTTCTGCTGGTTGGAGTCATACCTGGCACATAGGAAGATGGTTGTGGTTGTTGGAGGTCGGTCATCTCAGCTCCCCGACATCTCTGCAGGAGTTTGTCAAGGAGGAGTCCAAGGCCCAACCATCTCCAGCTGCTACAGCAATGACCTTCCCTCCATAAAGGTCAGAAGTGGGGATGTTCACCAATGATGGAACAACGTTCAGCAGCATTTGTGACTCCTCAGACACTAAGACAGGCCATGTTCAAATGCAACAAAATCTGGACAATATCCAGGCTTGGGCTGACAAGTGTCATGTAACATTCGCGCTACACAAACACCAGACAATGACCATCTCCAACAAGAGACAATCTAACTACCGTACCTTGACATTCAATAATGTTACCATCACTGAATTCCCCACTATCCACATCCTGGGAGTTACCATTGACCAGAAACTCAACTGGACTCACTACATAAACACAGTGGCTACAGAGCAGGTCAGGGACGAGGAATCCTGCAGTGAGAAATACACCTCCTCACTCCCCAAAGCCCATCAAACAAGGTATGAGTCAGGAGCGTGATTGAATACTTCCCAATCGCCTGGGCGGGTGCAGCCGCAACAATATTCAAAAAGCTGGACACCATCCAGGACAAAGCAGCCCAACTCTTTGGCACCACACCCAGGAGTGGAATTGTGATGCTCAGTTGCAGCTACAAAATGCACCGCAGAAATTCAAAGAATCTTCGACAGTACCTTCCAAACCCATGACCACTTCTAGAAGGACAACGGCAGCAGATACATGGGAACACCACCCCTTTAAGTTCGCCTCCAAGCCATTTACAAGTTGCAAATATATCACCTTTCCATCACTATCGCTGGCTCAAAATCCTGGAATTCCCTCCCTAACAGCATCATTATGGGTTATACTACAGTATACGGACTACAACGGTTCAAGAAGGCAGCTCACCACCACCTTCTCAAGGGCAAGTAGGGATGGGCAACAAGTTCTTGCCAGCCAGCGATGCCCATATTCCACATGTGAATAATAAGAAAAAAAAGCTTGTCTCCAAGTCACAGAGGAGGATTACAAGAATTTGCAAACTTCAAGGTAGAATAAGGTAAGTTTACATTCTCTTATCTCATTAAATCCTTTTCTGGGACAATTCGGTCTTATCAGCAGAGGTAGGCAAGTTACTACAGGAAAAAAATACATTTATATAAAACAGCTGAGCTCTACATCAGCTTTGCTTTAATTCATATCAACTTAGAAGAGAAAAAATTACATTTGGCTAAATATAATCAATGTTTTCAAATTAACTTTTTCTGTTTATAACTGTAAGACTCCTTAGAATTTTGTTCCTCACTTACATCCTTTACCCCTTAAGCCATGCAAAACTTACCCCCTTCAAGAAATTTTCCAATTCCATTTTGAAAACCTCAATTGAATCTGCATCTATGTAAGCAGCTCATTCCTAATCAGTGGCTGTACAAAACCACAGAAGCATAGAAAATAGGAGCAGAAATAGGTCAATCAGCCCTTTGAACCTGCTCCACAATTCATTATGATCATGACTAATTAGTGAACTCTTGTCCCCTGTTCTTGCTTTCTCCCTATACCCTTTGGTCTCTCTAGTGCTAAGAACTATGAATATTTTGGCCTCAACCACTTTCTATGACAGAAAATTCCACAGGCTCCCCACTCCCTGAAGAAAGGAATTTCTCCTCATCTCAATCCCTGTCTATACCATATCCTTAAACAGTGACCCTTGGATCTTAATTCCTCTTAATCCTCCAATTGCCTTCGATTCTTCTGCCATCCGTCTTAAATTGGCATCCCCTGGTCCCCAACCCTTCCACCCGAGAACAATTTTTCTCTCTCCTTCTACTGTCCAGAGCACTCATGAATTTGAACACGTCACTAACTCTATACATCCCATGTTTCATTCAAAAGAGACACTTTGCAAGCTTTCTAAAGTCTATTTACCAGAATCAGGTCGAGAAGAAGGGAAGATTTGAACATCCAGTCAAGCTTCATGTCTTTATTTGCAATGAGGTCCTCCAGACTACCCCTGGAGCAATACTCGGTGACGATTGCGAGGATACCACAGTCTTGGAAAAGCCCCAGGAATGGATTCACATTTTCATGTCTCATTTCCCGGATCTAGGAAGATCGCTTTATTACAAAGGATTTACGTGATTGAAATAGGCCATTCAGACCTTGGTAGCTAATTGCTTAGCATTATTGAGAAATCATTATGATGGCAAGTGCCGAACTGTGGTGATGAAGCAAATGAAACAAGTCACCATGAATTATAAAATATTACAACCAAAGTAAACTGAAGTAATAAAAAGGATTACACAATTTTGAACATTTCAGCATAAAAATGCAGAATAAAAATGAAAAGTTTGCCATATTTAAGAGCAATGTCGAGTTCAGATCATTAAATTCTCAATTAGACTGTTGCACCTTGAGTCTAGGAATTGGGAGGTTATGTTGAGCCTGTACAGGACATTGGTTAGGCCACTTTTGGAATACTGTGTTCAATTCTGGTCTGCCTGCTATAGAAAGGATGCTGTGAAACTTGAAAGGGTTCAGAAAAGATTTACAAGGATGTTGCCAGGGTTGGAGGATTTGAGCTATAAGGGACAGGCTGAATAGGCTGGGGCTATTTTCGCTAGAGCATCAGAGAATGAGAGTTGACCTTATAGAAGTTTATAAAATCTGAGGGACATAGATAGGTGAATAGCCAAGGTCTTTTCCCCAGGGTAGTGGAGTTGTCCAAAACTAGAGGGCATAGGTTTAAAGTGAAAGAGGACAGATTTAAAAGGGACCTAAGGGGCAACTTTTTCACACAGAGAGTGGTGCATGTATGGAATGAGCTGCCAGAGGAAGCGGTGGAGGCTGGTACAATTACAACATTTAAAAGGCATCTGGATGGTCACATAAATAGGAAGGGTTTAGAGGGATATGAGCCAAATGCTAGCAAATGGGACTAGATTAATTAATTAATATCTGGTCAGCATGGACAAGTTGGACTGAAAGGTTGGTTTCCATGCTGTACATCTCTGACTCTATTTGTTTTTTTTCATGTTTACAAAAGGTGTCTTTTCTTCTTATTCTATTGCACATTTACATTTGCATGGCTGTGGCGAGAGACAGTAACAACAGGAGGTGGAAATTGAGAGTTTTCCAGTTTCCCCAGCTTTCACACATATGCTATTAATTTAGCTCACTCAGTTAGTTGGATGGCAAGTTTGAGATGCAGAGTGATGCCAACAGCATGGGTTTAATTACCACACTGGCTGAGGTCACCTCAAAGGGCTCTCCGTCTCAACTTCTGCCCTTGCCTAAGATGTGTGACCCTCAGGTTAGACCACCACCAGCTATCTGTCTCACTCACTAATGAGAGAGCAGCCTTATGGTCTAGTAAGACTATGATAATTTTACATTTTGTAATTTAATTACAGCTCAGCAAAGGTCTAAACAATAGTTTAAACACTGAAAAGGAGGCATGGAAAGACGCATAGCAGCATCATGTCCAGTCATGAGAGTAAAAGGTTAATTGCTGGAGAAATACTGGAACCATCCAATTGATGAGAATGGCAAAGATCTTTACATATGAATACCATTAGAAACTAGGATAAGCCAACAGTCTAAAACGTAGACAAATGAAACATCTTTACCGATAAACATTGAACAAAGGATTCTTTAAAGGTTGAAAGAATAAGGGATCAATGAAAGGAGCATAAAATATCACAAATAAATCAACTAGATACAATTTCAAATTGGAATCTTCACTGAATAATTAAGATTAAATGATACATCAATATATGAAATTGGGAGAAACATTTACAAAGCAGGGAACAGTCCAAAAATTTATTAAAAAAAGACCCTTCCTCTGAATATTCAGAAGTATTGAAAACCCTCAGATAACAGTCTTCAAAAGGCACTTTCTCCCACTGGAGGAGATATTTTATGCTTTTGAGACATTAAGTGTTTAAATTATATTCTCAGATATTCCTAGGTGTTCTCATATTTTTGAATAGTTATAAATTACATCAAACACGATTCTATATCATTTGTGTATCACGTCATATGATAGTTTTTGGCACAGCAGTAAACTTATCCACTTAAAGAGTATTGCTTGTTAATTTCTGTTAATAAAATTGTCAAATTAACACTTATGTCTTTCTATTACGACAGAAACACATCCTAATATCTGTATACTTTCTGAAGTGGGAAAGGGCATTTTCTGAAGAGAGAAATCACAGACCTTAAAATATCTGGGAAGTTTCTAGCTTAGCTAAGGTTTATTAAAAACCAAACAGGCTATCTGGAAGACAGTTACATCATGGGGGAGCTTTTTCTCCTGTTTCAATGGTTACCCAAAACTTACAAATCCAGTATGTGGAGGTGCCAGTGTTGGATTGGGGTGGACAAAGTCAGAAGTCATTTGACACCAGATTATAGACCAATAGGGTCATTTGAAATTACAAGCTTTTGGAGTGATACTCCTTCATCAGGTGAAATGTCTTGAGCTGAGGAAGCACAGGTTTTCAGGGAAATACACCTGTTTCAAATTAGCTCTAAGTAAAACCTACAAACCACTTCATTTCTGCATTTATTCTGTCACAGTTTTCCCTGCTTTAATCTCCCATTTCCACACCTATTTGGTGTTGTCCATAAATTTGGATATTGCATTTCCTGAAACTTTGATCAAATTCTCTTTCGCCTTTTACAGCTCATGTTTGGTATTTTCTGCCAACTCCATACGGTAAAAAAAATCAATCCAACATCATCCTGCCCTGGACAGGGTACAAAAGTTCTGGGTTCAATCCTTCATCCATGCTTAATAATCTGATTCCAGGCATGAGTCTGTTGTTGAGTGAAGGTAGAGGGACCCACACACTGCAGGGTTAAAGATAATGGAATCAATGAAATGGTGGTCAGAGGGAAAATGAATCACTGACTTGTTACAGTGCAAAATGAGGCCATGTAACCCACCGTGTCTGCACCAGCTCTCTGAATAAGCACTTCACTTTGCGCCATTGTCCACCTTCTCCCAGTACCCTGACACATTCTTCCTTCTCAGGTAACAGTCTGATTCCGTCCTCAATACCTCCATTGAACCTGCCTACACCACATTCACAGGCAGTGCATTCCAGGCCCCAAACAACTCACTAAGTGAAAAGGTTTTGCCTCATGTCACAATTGAATCTTCTGCTATAAACTTCAAATCTGCATCCTCTTATTCATGACCTTTTCATGATTGGGAAGAACTTCTCTATGCCTCCCTTCTGCAGAAGGCAGCAGCAACTAAAAATATCAAAGATGGAGTTGGTGGGACAGATGCAAAGAAAGGCTGGAGGTGCAGGGACAAGCAGGCAGAGTGATTGAAGATGGAGGGAGTGCCATTGAAATACTGAAGATGAAAAGAGAGAGACTGAGGGATTAGAGATGGAGGGAGAGAGACTGAAGGATTAAAGGTAGAAGGGAAGATACAATGGGAGACTGTAGATGGAGGGACAGAATCGCTGAGGAATTGGAGATGGAAGAGGAGGCTAAGGGATTGAAGCTAGAAGTACCAACACATTGCTGTTCTTGCGTTCAAACAAGGAACACAGTCGACCGACTTAGCAGAACTAAATTAATACACTTTGGACAAGTCAGAAATGGGGATTTTTCCACTCCTGGTTCTGAAACATAGGAATTAAAGAAGAATAACTCACCTTAGAGAACACAGTTTTGGTCAAAGGTTTGACCTCAGTAAATTTTCCATTTCTGATCCTCTTCAGCCAAACCCAGTCTCCCTGTCCCATTAAGATTGCAAAATATATCAAAAAATTAGAATCAAAAAATAGTACAGTCCCATTAAGCATGTACCAACTCTTTGAAAGCTCTTTTTCAATTTTTGAATTAATTCATTCATAAATTAGTCCCACTCACCACAGCCTTGCAGATATTAGATATGAAGAAAGGTTGAATGGACTGGGTTTGTTTTGACCAGAATGCAGGAAGTTGAGGGGTGACCTGATACAAGTTTAAAAGATTGTGAATGGCATGGACAGAGTGGAAAGTATGGGGCTTTTTCCCACGGTGAAAGGGTCAGTTACTAGGGACACAGTTTCAAGGTGCGGGGGTGAAGTTTAGAAGAGATGTGCGAGGCAAGTTTTTCACACAAAGGGTGGTGAGTGACTGGAACATGCTGCCAGAGGTGGTAGGGGAAGCAGATACAATAGCAGCATCCAAGAAGCACCTGGACGAATACATGAATAGGAAGGGAATAGAAGGATACAGATCCTATAAGTGAAGGCAGTTTTAGTATGGAAAGACAAGTGTCAGCACAGGCTTGGAGGGCTGTAGGGCCTGTTCCTGTGCTGCATTATTCTTTGTTCTAATGTATCTTTGCATTCTGTTGAAACCAAGGAACAGGATTACTTGTTTCTCACGAGCAGAAGTTGCGAGAGTTGTAGCCTTTTGCAAAATGTGTAAACACTAGTAGCTCTGTTCCCATGGCTGAGACGGAGTTGGTATCATTCCAAAGCATTGTAACATAGCACAGTAGTTATTACAAAAAATCAGAGATGACATTACACAATGAGTAAAAGTTAAAGTTAAACAACCTACTTTGGTTCCAGCCATATATGAAATGTAAGAACATAAGAAAGCCCCTCAAATTTGATCTACCATTTAATAAGATCATGGATGATCTTCCATCTCAAATCCACTTACCTATTCCATGCTCCTCAATTTTTTTTACAGTCTGGAGTACACTCAATAACGGAGCATAATTAGCTCTCAAAAGATAGAGAATCCCAAGCATCTGTGTGAAGTAATTTCTCCTCTGCTCAGTCCTGAATGGTTGACTCTTTATTCTAATACTTTAGCCCCTTAATTCCCAGTGTTCCAGCCAGTGGGGATACGTATTCTCAGTATCTAAATAAAGTTTGAATTTGCAATGCTTCAGTGAAATATTTCCTCATTTTTCCTGGCTCCAGAGATTGTAGGCTCATTCACCTCAATCTTTCCCTCTACAGCAACCCATTAAACTCAGGAATCAGTGAAGCCTCCTTGCACCTCCTTTTAAGCAAATAGACCTTTCTTAGTTAAGCTCTTCATAACTCAACCAGACTATGAAGACTGGTGCAGGAATTAAAGAATTTGCATTTCTGTAGTACCTTTCATGACATCTTCACACCTCACAAAAGCACTTAACAATCAACAAAGTCCATTTCTTGAGAGGTAGGCTCTGCTATAACGCAGGGAGCTAAATATTTCATTTTTCGTTTGTCCATTTATGAGATGGGAGCGTTTCTTGCCCACTAACTAACCCATCCCAGAACTGTGATGGTGAGCAACCTTCTTTCATTCCATATTACACAGGTACTTGCACAGTCTGGTGTGCTTTGTTACAACTGAGTGGCTTACTAGAGTATTTCAAGGGCAGTTAAGAGTCTGCACATCTTCAAAACACACATAGGTTAGATCGGGAAGAACAGCAGAACTCCTTCCTGGTCACAGTTTTATAGCAATCTTTCTTTCAGTGTCACTGGGTCAAAATCTTGGAACTCCATCCCTTTTGGCACTGTGTAGGTGTTCCTACACCATATGGGACTGCAGCGGTTCAAGAAGGCAGCTCGCCACCACCTTCTCATGGGGCAATTAGGGATGACAATAAACGCTGGGCTCAGCCAGCGAGGTGAATAAATAGAAATCTAGTTGTTTTTTTTTCCCCAGAATTGAAATGTCTAAAAGTAGGGGGGCATGCATTTAAGGTGAGAGGGAGATGGTTCAAAGAAGATGTGAGAGGCAAATATTTTTTTTTTTACACAAAGTGGTAGGAGTCTGGAACGTATTGCTAGGAGTAGTGATGGAGGCAGATACGATAGGGGCTTTTAAGAGACTTTTAGATAAGCACCTGTATATGCAAGTGTTGGAGGGATACGGACCAAGGGGAGGCAGAAGGGATTAGTGTAATTTGGCTTCATGTTTGGCACAACATCATGGGCCGGAGGGCCTGTTCCTGTTCCTGGATTTTAAATCCAGTCCCCTGATCATTAGTCCAGACCTCTAGATCAATCCAGTAAAATAACCCCAATATCACCTTCATTGAACTGCAGAGACGCAATTGCAAATTATTGCACTAATCTAATAGTCACCACCTGCTGCACATCTGAGAGAGAATGGGGATGTTACCTCATAAATGGCAACGTTGCTGGTATCTGGAGTGGCTGCCGTGAGACTTTTCCCTGAGATCGAATGCTTGGGTGTCTTTGGGCTTTTCAAGTCTGAGACACTTCTCCCTAAAACAGACGTTTCATTCTCATTGTTCAGTCTCTGAAAGCAGACATCAGCACAAAGATGTAAGAATTTCTCAGAGTAGAACAGCACATCACCCATTGGGCTTCCACTTTATTGCTACACTCCACAAGTCGTCACAGTCCTACCAGAACATACGGTTCCCCTCCCTTTAGAGAGAGACGACTGGTAGTGGTTTAACCCAAGGGTCACTGTAGAAATTGTAACGAGGTCAGCTGGGGGACTTCATAGAATGAGCTCCCTGATTGGGGCTGTTAACCTGGTCCAGTCAGGGAGCCATTACTGACAGATATAAACAGGAATGTTAGAGGTTTTGTTCAATGAGAGCTGGCTCTGAGGAAGCCAAACCAGTCTCAAGTATTATGCACATGTAAATTAAGGGTGACTTGGTGACAGGATACTGGCCTCTGTGGAGTTATTACAGTCACAACACTTCAGGCAAGCAGAGAGGTTAAGGAGAGTCCTTCATGGTAACCTCAGCTGGTATGGGAATCGAAGCCATGCTGCTGGCATCACAAACCAGCCATCCACTAAGCCAACTGCCCCGGCCCTCCAGACATTTCACGAGGCAGCAGTGCTTTGGTTGAAATAAAAACAGAAGATGGTGGTGGAGAAATTCAGCAGGTCTGTTAGCATCTGTCAAGAGAGAAAGCAAAGTTAATGCTGAGTTTCTCCAACAATTTCCATTTGTATTTCAAATCTTCAGCATCTGCAATTCTTTGTTTTTAGTGTCTTAGTGGAGCTTGCCAAAGACAAAGGCTACAAGACCTCCATACCTTACGGCTGAGTTGTGCATTAATGAATGCCAAATCATCCAGCTTTAGAATGATTTTGTTGGGTCCTGTTGACCGGTGTGGTTTCAGGAAGCGTTTCCTATGAAATGTCAACAAAACAGATTACATAGTTCTCCTGCCTGGTGGCTTTCTTTTACATTATTGCTATGCCCAGGTTAACCCAAACCCAGCTCTGCCATTCTCAATGTGCTAAGCGTGTCACACTGACTGGATGGAGCTGTCTACCAGTCACTGTACTGCCTGTCAAAATGCTGTTCTAAAACACAGTTGGCCTGTTGCCTTACCCTCCCTTCCAACATGGCAAAAAGAAACAGCTTTTGTATTTCATGGATGCCCAAAGCTTTTTGTTTACAGGCAATGGCGCATTTCTTTTCATATGAGACACCCGCACAGTTGTATTTTAGGACAATATGGCATTCAAAAGGAGCACAGCAGGATCCCTCAAACAATACTGAAACAGTGATCAAGTAAAACAAACCTTGTGATGCTGCTTGAGGGATATCGGGCAACAAAGGGAAAGGGGAACCTCCCCCTGCACTTACCAGGGAGATCATGGTATCTACTGGAGAGGGCAGGGACCATAGTTTAAAATCTCATCTGAAAGACAAAACTAGTGCAGCACTCCCTCAGTAATAAACTTCCCACAGCATGGCATTCCCTCAGTGCGGCGCTCCCTCAGCACTTACCCCCCGACAGTGTGGCGTTCCCTCAGCACTGACCCGCCTACATTGTAGCACTTATTCAGCAGTGACCCTCTGCTACTGTGGTGCTCCCTCAGCACTGACCTTCTGACTATAGCATACTGTCCTTAATACTGAATTGGGAGTACTAGCCTAGGTTTTATGCCCGGGTCTTTGGTGTGGGGAATTCTATGTATCACTTGATGGTTCAGAGGACAGACAGAGAAAGATGAAGGGAGAGTGACCTTACTCCAACTTTATGGCCACTGTTCATCACTCATGGAGGGAAAATGCCCTGAAGAGGGAGTTAGGACAACGCAACCCATGGCGTCATGGGTAACATAAATTATTCAACATTGATATATATTTTTAAGGAAAATAAATTAATAATTAATTAAATAATGGGCAAAACAACAGAAGAAAAAGCTAAGCTGTAATATTAATGATGGAGACCCAATGCAGATACGATAGGCCAAACGACCTCTTTCTGTCTGGCAGTTTCTACATTTCTGTTGGGAAATAAGTGGGTTAATGCAAATGGGATAAAACACAAAATGACCAAACCTGAAGGAATAGATTGTGGCTCCACAGATCAGAATCACACCAGAGACCATGGTAAACACCAGCAGCACAAACATTGGGTCCAATCCTAGGCAAGACAGAGAGAGACAATTCATTATCCCATTGGCATCAAAGACATCTTCCCACCCAGTTTCAATCATTTACCAATAAATCCATGTCCAGTCCTGAGTCACATGTTGTAAACACTCTTGGGGACTATCACGACATGCTATTCCTCATTCCTTCACGGTATGTGGGAATCACTGGTGAAGCCAGCATGTGTTGCCCATCCCTAATTGGCCCTTGAACTGAGTGGGTCATTTGGGCATTTTGGACTCCATTTCCTAACCCTGTTGCAGTTAAGAGTCAACTACATTGGCTGGGGGTCTGGAATCACGTGTGGGCCAGACTAGTAAGGGCAACAGATTTCGCTCCCTAAAGCGCATGGAAGACAGGGTGGTTAAAAAGGCATTTGGCACACTTGCCTTTAATACTCAAAGGACTGAGCAATGGAATTGAGGTTATACAATACATTGATGAGGCTTTTCTGGAATACTGCATCCAGTTCTGGTCACCCAGTTACAGGAAGGATATTATCAAGCTGGAGAGGGCTCAAAAGATTTAGCAGGATGTTGCCAGGTATGGAAGGTTTGAGTTACAAAGCAAGGCTGAATAGGCTGGGACTTTCTTTCACTGGAACATAGGAGGTTGAGAGTCAACCCAATAGAAGTTTATAAAATAATGAGGGGTATAGATAAGATAATGGTAGTTGTCTTTTCCCTAGGATGGAGGATTTCACGACCAGGGAGCATATTTTTAAAGTGAGAGGAGAGAGATTTAAAAAAAGACATGAGAGGAAATTTTTTTATACAGAGGATGGTTTGCAGGAGGAATGAACTTCCTGAGGAAGTAGTGGATGTGGGCACAATTACAACATCTGCTGAACAAGAACCAGCTTAGTGAGCCAACCGACCACAACATCCACAACCCAAGCTACAAATCTACTCTAAAACCTTAAAGGTTCACTGAGTTGATCCTGGGTGTGGATGGATTTTCTTATGAGAAGAGGTTGAAGAGTTAAGTAGGAATCTCTTAAAGGTCGAATGAACTGCTTAAGGGTGGAGATAAGTTTAGGGAGGGAATTCCAGGGGGCTTAGAGCCCTGACACGGCCATCAGTGGCAGAGTGATTAAAAAATGGAAGGTGCTAAGTGGAACAGAAGGTGTTGTAGGCTGGAGAAGAGATGAGGGTCTTAAAGGGATATGATACCAACAGCGAGAATTTTTAAATTGCAACCAATCTTACCTGCTGTACAGACTTCCTTGGAGTCAAACCAGCAGTCAGCATCTGTTCCAGGGACTGACCCTTGTGGGAAATGGATGTTAGTGCCAAGGTATTTCAACGCTCCTGTAGCCATGTTGACTGAGTGGGTTGCCTTCAGTTGGCTCCCCATTCCATCAGTGTCCAAAACCACGTAGTCAGCAATGATGGTTCCATCTTTGTCTGTCTGCAAGGCCTGGTTAAATCCTTCAAATTCCATCCCACTGGTGTGCTGGGCGATGTTTGTCCCAGTCACCCACCTACTTCCCTGGTAGGCACTGTCTGTTGCTTTGGCCAAGAAGTATATTGCATTGTAGATGGTGCCAAATAATGGGGAGACCTGTTGGAAGGAGCACAGGCTAACAGTGCATTCTGGATAAAGGGAAATGTACAGGACAGCACAGGTTGAGGCCATGCATCCCATCCTGTCTGTACTGGCTTTCTGAAAGGGCTGCCGGGCTTACATATAGAATTATCATGCACAGGAGCTCAATCAGCCCATCATGTCTGTGCTGTCTCTCTCTGTAAGGGCAACAGAGCTACTTCAGATCCCCTCATCCTCTTCTCAATCATTCTGCAAACTCTCTCTCGTCAGGGACATTAATTATTCAATTCTATTCCAAAGCCACAGTTGAATCTGCTTCCAACACTCTCTCAGACAATGCCAAACTGCCATCTGTTGTCCTTGACCCTGTAATTTGCTGTAAGACACTCTGCAGCATCTCATCTCCTTTGACAGCATTATTCAAACTCCTGACCTCTGCCACCTTGAAGGGCAAGGGCAGCAGGGAACAAGTTCTGCTCCAAGCCAGTCATCATCCTGACTTGGAAATATATCACCATTCCTTCAGTGTTGCTGCATCAAAACCCTGGTACATCCTCCCCAAAGGCATTATGGGTCAACGCACAGCACATGGACTGTACCACCCTTCTCAAGGATAATTAGAGATGGGAATTAAAAGCTGGAATAGCCAGTGACTCAAACACCCTATGAGGAAATAACTGAAACATTTACTCTTCAAGCTAAATCATTAAAAATAAAATGTTTGAGTTATTATCACTACACATTCAGTGGGAGGTTGCTGTCTGCAACTTTACTGGCATGCTTCCCTCATTGCAACAAGTACTTTGAAAGTACTTAGTTGGTTGTGAAGCATTTGGGTTATCCCAGGGGTATGAAAGGCACTACCAAAATTCCAAGTTCCTTTTCCCCCCAGTCTATTATATTTTGTTACATGCACCACATCATGAACAATAAACTAGTAAAATCTTTAAACCCCAAGGTGCAGAAGGAGGCTATTCAGCCCATTCTGTCCATACCTACCTTTGTAACGATTTATCCAATTCATCCCAGTCACCTTTTCCTCACAGTCATAGAGTCATACAGCATAGAAACAGACCCTTTAGTCCAACCAGCCCATGCTGAACGTAATTCCAAATTGAACAAGTCCTGCCTCCCTGTTCCTAGCCCATATCCCTGCAGACCTTTCCAGTTCATGTACTTATCCAAATGTCTTTTAAACATTGTAACTGTACTCACAGCCACCATTTCCCCAGGAAGTTCATTCCGCATGCGAACCACGCTGTGTAAAAAAATTGCCTCTCATGTCTTTTTTTAAATCTTTCTCCTTTCATCTTAAAAAATATGCCCTCTAGTCTTGAAACCTCCATCCTAGGGAACAGACAACTATCATTAACTCTGTCTATACCCCTCATGATTTTATAAACTCCTTTCAGGTCGCCTCTCAACCTCCTATGCTCTTGCGAAGTTTTCTCCTTCTAGAGTTTCTTCAACACCCCTTTTGAAATTCCAAGTGAATCTGCTTCTACCACCTTTGCAGATCAGAACAAATTGCTGTTTTAAAGGTAAACTATAAAAGAAACCAACAGGATGGTGCCTCTGATGTGATCATAGGCAGGTTATTTGCCTCCCATTCTGTCTAACTAAAGCTGCATAAGCTAAAGGAGATTGAGCAATGACTATCTTCAAAGTAATCTGATTATTTTGTGTAAATGCCTTGGTTTAATTCAGTGCAGAGGCTCTTAGAATTAACTCAACTTACTGAGCACTGCCCGAAGATACTGAAGCCAGACAAGGCTGTGGTTGCCCAGATGGAAGACACATCAATTGGAGGGGTAGCAAGAACTGCAGATCTGGAGTCAGAGATAACACAGCGTGGGGCTGGAGGAACACAGCAGGTCAGGCAGCATCAGAGGAGTAGGAAAGTTGATGTTTCGGGTCGGGACCCTTCTTCAGAAGTGGGGGGACATCAACTGGTGGGACAGTTTTTTTTATAAAACCAGGCACAAGAATTTAGCCTGACACTCCTGGTACAGCACCAAGGAAATGCTGCACTGTCAGAGGATCATCTTTCAGATGAAAATCAACAGTGACCCCTCCGCATTCCACAGATTTGATAGGAGGACTGTCAAATATACAATAGTGTCCTTCTTGAAGTCAATACTGCAAGAATCCAGACTAAATTCCCGCAAACTCAGCTATGATAGATTAGACACGGTGTATAGATGGATGCAAAGCATTTCTCTTTACAGAATCATTTTCCTTGATTCCCTGGCATCCCCACGAAGAAAGAAAACTCTTTGAACCTCTCCTCGAAGTGCAGCAAGCTTTGGCATTAATGACGCAGAGGAGTTTACTGATAATCATTCAGAATAGTGACAAAGTTAGCCATCAAATGTACCAGGCTGTAAGTCACAACATCTTAACATGAGGCAGAGATGGAATGAAAAGGAAGCCAAGGGACAATGATGACAAAACTGGCATTATTTGGAAGTTCCACCCAAAACAGTGACCTGGCCAGACAAATCAATGTCACTGAAAACAGATTACCTGGTCATTAGTCCACTGTTTGCAGAAGCCAGCTGTGTATGAATTGGCTGCTGCATTTCCTACATCACAGTGCTGGCAGCACTTATTTCACTTTGCGTAGAGTGATTTTGGACATCCCAAGATAAGAAAGGCGCTATATAAATGTGAATCACCCATTCTTTAGAATTCACACAGCCTTCTGGTAATAGGACTGATTTTCCCCTTCTGTAACTCTCAGACACTGAGTCTACCTGGCATATTGCAGTTGACTGGTGCAAGTTATCATATAGCAGAGAGCACCTTCCTGTTTTGTGCAGTTTATCTTCTTATTGGTTTAATTAGCCAAGTGAGAAACAGGGAGAGCTCTGTAAACTTGAGGTCAACCAAATCTCTTGTCCTCTGTGTACTTGCTTGAATAAAGTCCCATCCAACCATCACTCACTGTGCTGCCTGACCCACAATAGCTCTCAGTCAAGAAACACGTTACTTTCAAAATTCTCATCCTTGAATTCAAATCTCTTCATATCCTCCCTCCTCTCTATTTCTGTAACCTCCTCCCACCTTTTGCATTCTCTTTGCTTCTGGGTCCTTAAGCATCCCTGATTCCCATCGCTCCATTATTGCCTTCAGCTGCCTGTGTGTCTAAGCTTTGAAATTCCATTCCTAAACCTCTCCCTCCCTCTCCCCACCCATCTCTCTCCTCTCCCTATCCCCCACCCCGACCCCCTTCAAGCCTACCCTCTTTGGCCAAGTTTTTTGTCACCTGTCCTAATATGAAGCTAAGTGTCAAATTTTAATCCGTAACAATATTATGGATCTACATACAACAAATGGACTTCAGCAGTTCAAGAAGGCACCTCAAGGGGAACTAGGCATGGGAATAAATGCTGGCCCAACTAGCGACAAACATATCCTGCAAATGAACTTAAAAATGCTCCTAAGTGCTTTGGGACTCTTACTATGTTATATGTGCTGTGCTATTAGCAGCAAAGTGCTTTCTCAACTGATAAGACAAGCACTTCAGTTCAGTCAGGAATGAAGCAAAATCAGAAAATCTTAATTACAAATTGTGGGGAAGGAGTGTAACCAAAGTCTCACAAAAATCATCAGTCCAATGGCTATTCACATAGCAGCCTAACGGGAACTGTCCCTTTTTTAATGTCAGAAGTCACACAATACCAGGTTATAGTCCAACAGATTTACTTGAAATCACCTGAAGTCGTCACTTCGTGAAGTAGCAGCACTCCAAAAGCTTGTGATTTCAAATAAACCTGTTAGACTATAACCTGGTGTTGTGTGACTTCTGACCTTATCCACCCTAGTCCAATGCCAGCACCTCTATATCATGGCTACCATCTTCTTTTTATATTCACTTGTGGGACATGAGCCTTGCTGGTTGGGCCAGCACTTATAATCCACCTATAGTTGCCCTGGAGAAAGTGGTGGGTGAGCTGTCTTCTTGAACCACTGAGATCCCATGTGGTGTAGGGACACCCACACAGTGCCGTTAGGGAGGGAATTCCAGGATTTTGACCCAGCAACACTGAAGGAACGGCTGATTGTTTCCAAGTCAGGATGGTCAGTGGCTTGGAGCAGAACTTGTTCCTATGTATCTACTGCCCTTTTCTTTCAAGGTGGTAGAGGTAAGGGATTTGGAACATGTTCTCAAAGGAGATGAGTTGCTGCAAGGCATCTTATAGATAGTATACATTGCTGCTACGGTGCACCAGCAATAGAAAGAATGAAAATTGGTTGAAGCATCAGGAAAACTCTTCCTGCTCTGCTTTGACAAAGTGGGATCTTTTATGCCAACAGATGAGGCTTTGGTTTAACATCTCAGATGAAAGATGCTAAGGATAATGACAACATGTTGAACTTTATGTTGGTTACTGCATATTCTAACTGTGAGGAGTATGGCAGCTTCATAATCCTTGGACAGTTCTCTGTGCAAACCTTCTGAATATTTTTGTTGGGTTTCAAACTGTGACTTACTTCCGGTAACATTCCCTTACATTGAGAAAGCTTGAGTTTTGTAGATGATACACACAGCTGAAAGTGAGCAAGGGCTGCTAGATCGCAGTGTCAATGACACCTTCCATCACTTTACTGATTGGTTATTGGTGGAGTATGGAAATGTGGAATCAAGATGCACGCAGATCATCATAGAATCCCTATAGTGCAAATAGAGGCCCTTTGGCCCATTGAGTCCACACTGACCCTCCAAAGCGCATCCCATCCAGACCCAGCTCCCTACCCTGTCCCTATAACCCTGCATTTCCCATGGTTAACCCACCTAGCCTGTACATCGCTGGACACTCTGGGCAAAACTCCACACAAATGCACGACAAGGCTGGAAGTGAACCTGGGTCCATGGCACCATGAGACAGTGGTGCGAACTACTGAGGCACAGTGCCATTCTTAGATCAGTCACGTTCACACTGAGTGGTATAGCAGACTCGAGGGGTCAAGCGGTCTTTCGAATGCACATATCAATTCCCTGGCTCCAGGCACAAAGTTTGAGACCCATCACAGGGATATGATAGTAAAGGTGCATTCATAATGTGGATGAATTGGTTGGGGAACTAACAGTAGCCTCTTCCAACATGACTCACAAACGCAAACGTGCATGTAAAACGCATGTGGACCAATAACAAAGTCCCCACATAAATTGGAACTTGGCACCAGAGCTGTGGTGAAATAGTGGTGGGGAAATGGAACGGGGATATGGATCATCCTTGATTTCATTGAATGGGACAGCAGGCTTGAAGGGATAAGCAGCCTCCCGTTCCGGCATGACCGGAGGAGGAGAAGAGTAAAAGCAACCGAACACACATTTACAGAACCCAAAAGCTGGAAATTGGTGGAGAAATTCGGGAAGTGTTAAGAAAGACAGAGTCCAATGTCAGTCTTCTTTCGAAATGAAGGGAGGTGGGTAAGTGACAGGATCTCTTCCAGCGTGTTTATTTCAGGTTTCTGGCATCTGCAGGAATTTACTTATTAAATTGGAGAGGGTTCAGAAAAGTTTTACAAGGATGTTACCGGGATTGGGAGTTGTAAGGAGAGGCTGGATAGAGTGGGACTTTTTTCACTGGAGCGTTGGAAGTTGAGGGGGAACATTATAGAGGTTTATAAAATCACAAAGGGCATAGATAAGGTGAATAGCAAAGGTCTTTTCCCCAGTGCAGGGGAGTTCAAAACCACAGGGCATAATTTTAAGGTGAGAGGAGAAAGATTTTAAAAGGATCTGAGATGCAATTTCTTTCACACAGAGGACAGTGCCGTGTATGGAACAAGGAAGTGGTAGCAGTGGGTACAATTACAATATTGAAAAGACATCGGGACATGAATAGGAAAGCATTAGAGGGCCAAACACAGACACATGGGGCTAGTTCAGTTTAGGAAACCTGGCTGGCATGGACAAGTTGGACTAAAGGGTCTTTTTCCGTGCTGTATGGCTCTATGACTCTAAGCAAGGAGGCCCTTTGAGGATGAGCAAATTACAGGGTCATGGACAACAGCAGGCAATTTAGCATTGTCTGAGAGTGTGGTGGAAGCAGATTTAAATGTGGCTTTGAAATCGAATTAGATGATTGCTCTTGACAAGAAAGAGTTTGCAGAATGACTGAGAAAGGGGTGAGGGGATCTGAAGAGGAGGGGGGGAATGTAGGGAGTGGTGACGTTCCCAGGTATCTGCTGCCCTTGTCCTTCTAGATGGAAGTGGTCGAGGATTTGGAAGGTGCTGTTAGAGTCATCAAGTCATACAGACATACAGCACAGAAACAGATCATTCGGTCCAACTTGTCCATGCCGACCAGATATCTTAAACTAATCTAGTCCCATTTGGCCCATATTCCTCTAAACATCTCCTATTCATATACCCATCCAGATGCCTTTTAAATGGTGTTGAATGATCTTTCATGAGCTTCTGTTTAATCCTGTGACACAGAGATAAGCACATCCAGACTTGGTGTAGGAAAGGCACAGACAGAGAAAACAAAACTGTAACAGTATGAACTCCAGTAACTTTTCACCGTCCACAGTGCCAAAGCTACTAACCTGGGTTGGCCGCAGAGATGTACGGATCTCATTCTTCTCCAGAACCTCTCCCAGTACCTGATGGAAGTCTTTATCCTTGGAGTCCATGGTGATAGTGAGTACTGCATCATAGGAGCGTCGCAACCTCGCATTCCCAGCCAGCACTGGGTAGCTGGCATTCCGGTACGGAAGGCTGTAATGGATCGTGTCGTAGGGAATGAACACGTATCTCCCATCAGCCATCTGCATCCTGTCCACTTGCTGGAGGAATAACTGCTGGTCTTCACCTCCGACCAAGACCGAGTGCATGCACATGACCACCACTAAAATGTCCAACAAACAGCTCGGTGAACGAGACAACAGCATGCATCGCTGTAGCGCCTTTCACTACCTCATGTCATCTCGCAGGCCCCTCATAGTCAAGAAAGCACTTTAAATTCAGTTGCTGCTGAGATGACCCTGGCCTGCCAACATCTTAATTATTACAGTACTCGTCCTTACTTTCAAATCATTCCACAGCCTCACCTTGCCCCCAAATTTGGAATCTGTACCAGCCCCATTACTTTCCAAGACTTTTATATGCCTCCAATTCTGACCTTTTGAGCATTCCCAATTTGAATCTTTCCACTATTTTCATTTGTGGCCTTCAGCTGCCCAGGTGACCTAAGCTTTTGGAATTCCCTGCTTGGAATTTTTTAAAAAAATTAATTCATGGGAAGTGGACATGGCTGGCTGGACCAGCATTTATTGCCCATCCCTAACTGCCCCTTCAGAAGGTGGGTGGTGGGCTACCTTCATGAACCCCTTCAGTCCGTGTGGCATAGGGGCAGCCACACAATGCTGTTAGGGAGGGAGTTCCAGGATTTTGACCTAGCGACACTGAAGGAACAGCGATAAATTTCCAAGTCAGGGCTGATGTGTGGCTCAAAGAGAAAATTGCAGGGGGTGGTGATCCCATGTATCTGCTGCCCTTGTCCTTCTACACAGTCAAGGTCATAAGTTTGGAAGGTGCTGTTAAATAAGCATTGGTGTGTTTCTGCAGTGCTTCTTGTAGATGGGACACACTGCTGCTATTGAGCATCAGTGGTGGAGGGAGTGGATATTTGTTGGTGTAATGGCAGTCAAACTGATTGCTTTGTTCTGGATGGTATCAAGCTTCTTGAGTGTTGTTGGAGCTGCACCCATCCAAGCAAGTGAGGGGTATTCTGTCACACTCTTGACTTGCACCTTGTAGAAGGTGGACAGGCTTTGGGGAGTCAAGAGGTGAGAAAACTCTCCACTTTTCCCCTTTCCTTTAAGGCCAGCTCCATCTTTCCAACCTCTGATCATCAGACCTGTCACCTTCCTAACAACATGATTTTTTAAATGTATTTTTCACAGGAGCTGGGCATCATCAAAAAAAAAACCCAGCATTTGGTGACAAACCACCAATTGCCCTTGAGCTGAGCAGTTTTCTTGGTCAGAGAGTAGTTTGGAGCCAATCATATTGGCTGCAGGTCTGGAGTCACATATACGCCAGACTGGGTAAGGTCAGCAGATTTCATTCCCTAAAGGATAATAATAAACCAAATGGGTTTTTAAGACAATGCATGATAGCTTCATGTTCACCATTGCCGAGACTAGCTTACAGTTTCAGATCTTTTAACTTTTTTTTTCATTGAAATTCCACCAGCTGCCTTGGTGGGACTTGAATGCACATCTGCAGAGCATAAGCCAGGGCCTCAGGATTGGGTGCAGACTTGGAGACCGCTTTATGGAACACCTAAGTTCCCTCTGCAAAACTGATACTGAGCTTCCTGTTGCCTGCCACTTCAATCCACCCCCCATGGACCCTGGCCAACATCTGTCTTGGGTTTGCTGCGGGGCTCCAATGAAACTCAGCGTAATCTGCAAGAATAGCATTTCATTTTCCACTTGGGAACTCTGCAGCCATCAGGATTCAATATCAGTTCAGGGCCTGAGCACCTTCTCCCATGTCCTTACCCCCAACACCCACATACCAGGCCTTGTCATCACACAGCCTGCTACCACAAACCATCCCATTGTCAGCCATTAATTGTCCCCATTAACAGCTATGGATTCTCCCAAGCCGACCATGACCCAGTCCTTTGTCTGCCGAACTGCTGTTTTCTCTCTCTTTCTTTCTCTCTCTCTCCCTGGGTTCCATCTCCACCGATTGTTTACTCCTCCACCCACACCATCTTCAGTATATATACCAACATTCCCTGCTGAGTTGCTCCAGCAATTTCTGTTTCTGTTTCAGATTTCCAACAATGACAATTCTTTAGATCTTTTTCCAAAATTCTTGTCTCTGATTTCCATCTGTCAATGGTCGCATGTTCCCTCCCTATCTCTGTCACCCCCTCCAGCCCCTTACACCCCCTCCGTATCTCCGTCACCTCCTCCAGCCC